GAGCTCCCATTTATTGCGATTTTGGCTGTTAAATGGGCTGGTCCCTCCTGCCTCCCATGCAGGGACGACCCCTCTCCGCCCTACTCCCGGCTGCGCCGAGCTCTGCGGCCGCCGCACCTCCCGTCTGGAGGGAACGAGGGGCGACTCCCGGGGCATCACACGTGAAATGGATGAGAAGGAACAGCGGAAAACGGCGAGGGTGGTGCAAAGGCCGCTCCGTGGCACACTCGGCAACTCCGACGCACAGACACATTAATCTTAAATCGGAAAGGGTGTGCGAGGCTGCACTGACAGCTACCGAGATGAGGCTGCTGGAGTGTTTTATCATTTTGGAAAACGATTTTTGTCGCCGCCAGAAATTGCCTGGAACTGACAAAATACAGTTGCTGCTTCAATCTTTAACATTTCAAGCTAAAATAAAATGGCGCCTTTAATCAATGGATGAGACCATACAGGGTAGAAAATGAGCATGGCTATTACCTGTTTTAATTGCATATTTCAGTGTTGTTCTGCAGTTCAATAAAATTTCTTCCAAGGTCTGTGGCTGGTCTGCCAGTTCCCAGTTATATTCCTGGAGCAGCTCATTTGGGTAATGAAAATCAATAACTTTTGTCGATCTATCAAAACTTTTCACCACATACTGAAGTAAAATGTCCACAACGTCTTGTAGGAAAGACATAGTTGTTATTTCTCCGTTGCATGTCGGCAGAAGATCTGGGAATGGAGAAATTTAAGAGTTAACTTCGTTTTACAACCACATACACAGATTTTGGACAAAGGCTTCTCCCATTTATGTTTAGAAAATCTTTTCACTGTGTTGAATACAAATAGTTTTTGTTTTCATTTAAAGAACAAATTGCTAAGGCTGTATTTTAAGGAATGTTCTGAGAGATAACACTTAGGATTTAATATTCTATTTAAAATAGCAAATTTTGGCCACAGTGTATTTCGGACCAATTTTTAAGACAATGAGAGAGAGCAGGTAAACAAGAGAAAACGGAAAACAAATCTCAGGAAAAATAAAGATTGAACAACAAACGCTACAAGAGGCACCCTAAAACCTGCCGTTTGCCTTGCAATAAAATACCTTCGTGGCGACTCTCCTATGTAAGTAACTTGTTGATAATTTAATGCCTTTTTCTGAGGCAATGCTGCACAGTCTCTCGGTGTACACAAAGCTTTTGTTTAAGCGCGATGGCTCACTCAGAGCCGGACTGTAGTGGAAGCCCCTAATTTGGGGTGCCCCGAGGGCGGTCAGGCAAGCAGCAGCACCAGCAGCTCTCCCCGGCGGGGCCAGGCGAGCAGAGCGTGTCCCGGGCTGCCGAGCAAACGAGTTCCTGGCTAGCGCACGTCTGCGGGGAGCTGGAATCTACTCAGTAGCGGAGACGCTACCTCCAAGGTCAGAAAAGATGAAGTACAAAAATACCTCGAATTGAAACAAATGAGAGAGCGCTCTTTCTCCCTCCTCCCCTCAAATCTTAATTACATCGCAGGGTCTTCAAAGGGAAGGTCGCTACTGTCAGTTCTCCTTAGAGAAAGCTGCAGGTTCCAGCACGCGGGATTTTACTGCTTCGGGGTTTTTTTTCGGGATTTTTTTTTATTTGGCTGTTTTTTGGCAGATCTGCGAAACGCCCGGCGCCGGAGGGGGCCGAGGCTGAGGGCGCGGAGCTGCGCCGCGCACCGCCAGGCACCGCCGGGCTCCCCCGCCTCCGCGCAACGCGCGCGGAGACGATTTCCTGACCGAATTCCCGTTTTTTTTCGTTAGTTTTAGAGAAACAGCGTGGCCCGGGAGCGCCGTTACCTGTTGAGTGCAGAAAGGCGTAATTCACCTCCGCTTTTTGGCAGGCGCAGGGTTTTTTGTCGCAGGTACAGGCCGGCCGCGGCTCCGCTACCCCGGGGGATGCTGCCCTGGCGCCGGTTTCCACGGGCTTCTCGGCATCTCCGTAGAGCAGGGCTTGACAGCGACACGGACACATGGCCTCAGCACCGCGGCATCAACCCCGTCCCCTCGCCCCCCGCCCCGGGGCAGGTCCCGCGGCGCTCCCAGGGAGCTGCCGTCGCCTCCCTGCCCTTACCGCAGAGTTTGTTTCCGATCCCTCCCGTGAACTTCTGGGCAACCTGACACCAGGCTCTGGCTGCAAGAGAAAATGGAGCGGAGGGTCCGTGGGGGCGGGCGCGGACGGGGGCATCTGGTCCGACACCGGGCATCGCTCCCCAGAAACCCCCTGCCCCGCCGAGCTCAGCCGCGCTGGCCCGGGCTGTGGAGCCGCCGTCGGTCCCCGCCGCCCGCACCGCTTCGTCCCGCCGCTCGAGCTGCCACAAAGGGGGCTCCGCCGACCGGGCAGCGCTGTCACGGCGGAACCGCCGGGCCGGTCCCGCCCGGCCGCCCGACGTCCTACCTGTGCCGGGGCTCTCGGCGGCCGCGGAGCCCTCCTCGGTCCCGAAGGGCCAGAAGCCGGAGCCGGGGCTTGCCATGGCGGAGGCGAACCGGCGGGACGGGCGAGTTGCGGCGAGAGCTGCAGCCCAGGCGGCCTGAGCGAGTGTGCGTGAGTGTGAGTGTGCGGGTGTGTAAGTGCGCGCGGCTGCGCCAGGCGGCGGCAGCGAAGGGGCGGGAGCGCCCCGGGCACGCGTGGGTGGGAGCGTCTCCCGTGGGCGCCCCTGGGGCGCGCTCCGCCGAGATGCCGCGGCCGCGCCCCGCAGGCACCGCTGCCCGGGACGGGGCGGGCGGCACCGCGGGGGCCGGGGGAGGTGCCCGCCAAGGCGGGCGGCGGCGGAGGCGGCTGCTGTCAGGGGAGTCCGCGCCCCGCACCGGAGGATCGAGGGGCGGCGGTGGGGGCGTGATAGCGCTGGGGGCAGACCCGAGCTGCAGGGTCACCCTGTGCTGGCACTGCAGCTGCCTCGGGGGGATAAGGCGAGCGAGGTGGCCTGTGTTGTCTTCACCCCACCGACGGCCCCACGACCTCTGTGGCGGCGGCCCGACGGGGTGGGACCAGGGGACCGAACTCTCCGGCGCCGCCGAGTGCTGAGCGGAACGGAAGGATAGTTTCACACGTCCTAGCGCGGGAGGCCGCGGTGGTCCAGCCTTGTGCCCCGAGGGGGAGGGCTGGGTCTACGGGGAAGCGTCCTCAGTCCTGTGAGGTGCAAAGTGACGGGAAATACACACCCCCCACACACACACACCCCGCCCCTCACCCTGCACCGGGGCACCCCTGCACGTCCAGCAGGGTACTCCGGAGCAGCGGCGAGGCCGGGACAGCCCCTGCCGCCGGCGCCGAGCAGCGAGGCAGTCCCGGGGCGGGGAAACGACAACCCTCCGGAGTCCACGCCGCCCCATCGGGCCGCTGCGGAGAAGGCGCTGGTGGATGGCGCGGGGATGGGCAGCTCCCGCTGCCCGCTCTGCTCCCGGGCTGGCAGAGGGGTCCTGGCTCCTACGGAGGTGCAGGAGGATTCTTGCCCGACGCCGCGGCTGCCTGGGGGCGGCCTTTGGCTCCCACATCTGCCCCCGCGTTCCCGGGCCACTCCCGGGGTATCCTCGCAACCTCCCGGGATGGAGACCCTGGTGGAGCCTCCCTTCTCGCTCCAGTCCCGTGGAGGCTGCAGGTCTCGGAGGCGAAACTAGAAGAGCAGGAAAACAACCGTAGCCTTTCCTTTCACGACGTCGTTTCTGAAGCCAGCCAGACCTCCCTCTCCACCCAGCCGGCTCTCCGCGGGAGCCCTTCCCTACTACCGCGGCTGCCTCTCCTCCGGCACAGGACGGATTTCAAGCCCTAACCTTGGAGGGAGGCAGGCGGGAACACGCCAGGCCAGGATCTGGCTCTGCCAGAGAGCCCTGGTCATGCAGGGCCCCCACGCTCCTCGCAGCCAGGCCCTGGGGCTCCCGCGCTGTGTTCTGCGAGGGTCTCTCTCCACTTTCTGCAGGCACCCACATGGTTACAAGGACTGTCCCCCCGTGAGACCTCACAGAAATGTCTTGGTTTTTCAAAACACTGCCATGGTGGGAAACTAAACGAAAACCAGTCTAGGCACCTCTTTGTGTGAAATTACAGGTCTGTTTCACTTGCTGCATCACATTGCCTTTTACATAGACAATAACTCAGCTTTCCACGGCCAGAGGCTGCTGTGAGCCCTTCCCTGCCTTGCTTGTGCCCCACTCCACAGTATTTTATCAGTTCTGGGTGTAATTCAGACACAGCCAACTGTATCACTGCTTTGTGTATTTTTATTTACTTTACTGTTTTAATAATACATGAGAAAGCAACTTTAAACAGATTTCAAAATTTAACAATTTATAGCAAAATTTTACATTGCAGCAAATTTTAATCCGGTGCACAGCCTTATAACTATTTGTAGATCAGGAAGCAATAGTTACCTGTCTCTGGGAAAAGAGCCAAATGTGTGTCCGTTCAGACAAAACCCAGCCCCTGTGGCTGGCTGCTGCCAATTGTCATGTTTAGGAGAGCTAAGGAAAGGAGCAGGATCAGGCCTTTATGCTGGCATCATGAAATTTGCCTTCTCTTGCTTTGCAGCTGGGAACATGCAATTATGAATCCTGAAAGGAAGCGCTGCAATTATCTGTGTGGTTTCTGTGAAAGAAGGTCTTCTGAATAGAGAATCAGGGGGAATTTGAACACCGTGGCTATTGCTTTTATTTCCACTAAATTTCTAGTGGAACTGATTAAGAATGATCATTACATTTTGGCAGCAATCAACCAGAGAGTGTAATTCTATTCCTTTCTTGGCACCCCAGAGATTAAGATTCCTAAAAATCTAATGCAAATGAGAACAAAGCAAACACGATTTAAAAGTTCATCACTTAGTCACAAAGCTGAGGCAGAGGAGAGGGCTGAATATACTTCCAATAAATGGACATCTCCAACATAAAGATTATACACACTATATTGACCTTTAAAACTGGCTACTAGTTTTACAGCAAAGTCAATAATGAAATAAACTGCCATAGCATCCTATCCAATTAATCATTTGTGTTCATTTTTTTTTTAGAGGGACACTTGCCACAAACAAGTAATCCCAAAATTTAGGCATTGTAAACTAAAATGAGCAGAAATTCCCCTATGGTGCTCTTGTAATTTTTTTTTCATGTAAAACAATTTATTAGAAACAATAACTAAGGTTCTCTGAAGGTGCTTACAGGAATTTTAAAGCTTATCTAGGGAACTATGAAGTAAATGATTATTTTAATTGGATGAGTGATGAAATGAAAAAAAGAAAAATGCACTGACAAAAGTAAACTAGATTTAAGATACTTAATGTCTAATAATTTTAGGATGTAGCAAAAGCTGATTTTTATATTAGGGTTTTTTTAAGAATATGATATGTGACTGACAGTGTCCCTTTGCAATGGTGTTGGGCTGTAAACCACAGTAATTCAAATTCACATGAACACACACACTGTAAACTTGAAACATTGAAGATTTAAAAAAAAAAAAAAGGAAGCACATGGTATAAAATGATAAAAAAAATTATGCTAATAAAAGCCAAATGGCAGCAGGAACAGCAGCAGCAGCTAGAACTGCTGGATAAGGCGCCGGCGCTGTGAGGTCTTCCGCAGCAGTCGTCTGTAGTCATAGGGATTATCTTCAGCTTTGCTCTCTTCCAGGGGTCTTTCTGCAATCCTCGACCTAGGGATTAAGCACAGAAGTGTTTTAGAAATTAAAGTCAAAACATTTACATTGGCAAACACTCCTAATCGACTGCTTAACCTCCAGCCTCGTGGGAGAAAAATAAAAGGAGAAAGAAAGAAATCAACTGACTTTGCTAGGCCTCTTCCTGTGCTGCACAGAGCAGGCACCTAGGAACAAACACATTATACGCTAAAAGCGGATGAACATTGAAGAACAACATGTTCTTCTAGGAAGGGGACATAATAAAAGGGCATAAAAACATTGAGAACATGGGGATCCTTTGCAGTAGCGTTTGCCTGATGGTTACTAAACCGGATTTTTGGTTGGCATAAATTTGTTTGCTCTGTTCTTAACCTGCCAGTGGAGCTCAGTGTAAGTGTCCATCTATTTTTTTTTTTTCACATGGCAAGACGCATTTTGGAAGTCCCCTCTGACAGGCTGGAATGGTGACCTGGCACCAGCTGTTACAGTGGAGCAAGATTAAAAATAAAACTCAGTTATTTAAAAAATGAAATAATTACAAAAAATTGTAGTGTTCTACACTAAAGATGTATCCCATCACTGGTCCTATACCAGTGCCAAAGATAAACTGCCAAATAAAACTTCACTTCTGTAGATTGAAATGGCTGTAGTTTTTAGATCCAGATGACCCCATTCCAGAGATACTGAAGTCTAGAAATGTTTATTAATTGCATTCTTATGCCCTCTGAGACAACAGTTTAAATTTAAGTTACACAGGTTTTGTTTCACTATGGCTAAGTAGGATGCAATCAGAGCAGCACACAGTAAAAGGTAAATTCCTTTTAGTAAGCTCAGTAAAAAAACTCATTCACCTAAACTAGACCTCAGGGTGACAGATTTGGTGTAATTAACCACCTTAGAAATGCAACATGTTCCAAGGAATGTAAACTATATGGTAATTCCCTGATGTTATTATTTTTAATTCCATGCCTTCACAACACCTTCCTAAAATTAATTTAGATCCTACCTAAAAAAAGGCCAGAAATAAAATATGTAAGGGGCACAAAACGAACATTATACATTCTAAATGTTCTACAAACATTTTCTCTATTATATAGATACATTTTCAAATCAGCGATCATTCCATGCTTAGTGTTTCCCTTAAGCCTTTGATCTAGATAATTTTCCAAGTTTTTCTTAACTTTATAAAGACACAAGAATATACAAATATATTAAGATATATAAATACGTGTTTGCATAGGTAATGTGTGTCGGTGCATTGGCAAGAGTGAGAATTTCCTTCCACTCAGCAGTGGTCACCCTCTATGAAGTCTACATGGGAAGAGAGGAGGTTGAGTGAACCCTCCCTTTAGGGTTTTTCTGCTGACTGTCCACCTTGATGAGGTGCACCACAGGCTATAGACACACATGCTGCTTACAGGAGAGCAGGAAAAGGAGGCAGTCACGCTGGAGTCTTACCTGCAGAAAATGTGCAGAATGTTTGGAGCACGACCACCCTATTTAAAACCTAACCGATCAGAGATAAATTTTTTAGGTTCTGCTTCAGTTGAATTTGATTTTACATCAGAGATTTACAGCATAATGTCTGTCCATCTCATCTGGCCCTTGGGACATCAAAAACTAGCAGGTAGGCTGAACACCAAACACACTGGCATTTATCTCTCCTGTATGAAGATGGGAAATTTTCAGCTATACACTTTACAAGTTAATTTGGCAAGATTCCATCACTAAAAGAATAGATTTATGTCTAATTTAAAGTGTATCTTTTTTTCTTTTTATTAATATTTTGAATATCTCAACAAGGGTATACAACATTTATGTTTTCCTATTACTATTTTGTATGAATTACCGCTCAGCTCTTAAAATTGAAGTCCTGCGCTCACTTGGGTGTCTCTTCCTTCTTGTGGTAGAACTGCTGTCCTTTGAGGTGGAGTCAGTAGATGAAATTTCTTGATAGTAGATATCTAAATCTAGCACTTTGCTCAGACTGTTGGTAAATAAGAACACTAAGTTAACAGTTTCACTTTTCAATTTTACATTTAACATTCAAACCCAAGGTAACCAAATACAATTATCAGTTCTATTTCTGTGTTGAGGATCTAAGGAAAAATACATATAGGCACAAAAAATCAGTTTCTGAAGTGTGACTGCTGTTCAAAATGCAGATACTGAGAATTTTGAAATGCTAAATACTTTTATATATTCATAAAGGAGACATGTAGGACTGAAATTGTTTGGATTTGCCATTATACTCAGTGGAGAGGCATTTTTATGGTGTAATTCATCTGACCTATTTTAGGTATCTCTTTGAGCAAGAGATGAATCATTTTCCTAAAGATTATTATTTTTTCTCTAAGTACAAGAAGAGAGTCTAAAGCAACTAGTTCAGGTATAAATGTCAATAATGCAGATGTCTCTTATTTTGTTAGGTGAATGCTATCCAGCGTATTATATATACAGAAAAAAATCAATCCTGACATCTAGTTTAGAATGGCTAGGGAAAAAAAATAATATCCTAAAAGCAATCTGAAAAAAGAAGTCCCAAATTCAATTCTCAAATTGGTAGAAACCAGAAATAATTCATTGATTTCAATTGCTATGTTCCAATGATACAGAGTCAGCACATGAAGGAAGATGCCGTCAGGAAAGTGGTTAACTAGAGTTAAGATGAGTGAAGCCCAACTGAGGCCAAAGAGAGAAACCACTAGATTTTGGTGGTTTTTAATTTTGTTTTGTTTTGTTGTTGTTTGTGGGTTTTTTTGTTTTGTTTTTGGGTTTTTTTTGCTAAACCGGAGCCAATAGGTGTGAAATTTTTTCAGGCTCCAAATGACATCAGAAAAAAAGCTGAAGGAGACCAGACATGGGGGACATGGACATAAGGTCAATCCCTTAAGCTGTGGCATGGCCAAGTGCAATTTAAACTGTGGTTGAATGAAGCTAGATGCCCTGAGCACATTTTATATGCATTTAATGTCATGTAACATCCTTTAAGATACATATTTTATCTATGGTGTTTGTATTCTGCAACCTCAGCCAAGGACAGTGCAAAGAGCCCTTTCATCTTGCATCTATGAGCAGGCTGCCATCCCATGCATGCTGCGGTGCCACAGCAGTGTCACTGAGGGGGCACCAAAAAAGCTTAAGTATAGAAACAGAAATAAAATAAAGCTATGATGTATGTCAGGAGCTGTGAACCATGTCTACAGGACACATAAGGATCCAAGATACAGAAGGGCAGAATATACCTATCACTTCCTTTTTTCTGCAGAGATCCATGGAAATAGGTTAGTTATACTGTGAAGAAAACACCTATGTTTGAAATTTCAAGGGCTACTCTTCTTTACCCGTTACTAATAATTCTTGTTTTAATTTTATTATTATTTCCAAACAGTCATATATTTTTAGGAGAGAATTTTAACTTGTATTTTTGCTAACACAAAAGTACTGGTTGCTCATTTGCTTTGACTGGAATTTTAAGCACCTTCAATTATTTTCTGTGTCAGAACTATCTTTGATGTGGACCTTAACTTATTAGAATGCTTGTGTTGTCATGGTAAAGGGCCACGTTTTACTAAAACTGAGGGACTGAATTCTGTAATGGATTTTAGTCGTTGAAAATTGCGTATTTTAACTTTGTATACAATGTCCTTCCTGTGAATCACCAAATTACTGTTCTTTTTTCAATGCCTTGTTCTCCTGGTTGAAATACAGCTAAAAGCTATTCTAGAGTATTAAAGGACAATAGTAAGATAATGAAAAAAATTACCTTTCTTTTCTTGGTTTCCGTTTTTCATCTTGTATTGATTTCTAAGAAAATAAAAAGTAATTAAAAATACTAAAAGGAAAGCTTATGCAAAGATACAGTTCACCAGCATTAGGTAGGAGAGAGTTGTATATTTTTGATTAAAAGAAAATATAGAGAATCTAATATGTTAAGTGTCCCAGAAAAATCTCTTTTCAGAATGTTTGAGACTGAGAATGGGATTAGCTTTGTTTCTCCCAAATTTCAGTTGCCATACTGTGAAAAAAAAGCTAAATTAATCATGATCAGAACAGAAAAAGGAGATCTAAAACTTTCAAATAGCTATAGCTATTTTAATAAAGTTGACAACAAAATCTCACTGAGGCAAATTTACTATGATGCCAAGAGAATTTCCATAAATAGAGGCAACACAGTGGGAGTAGACATAATCCTATTCTCATTAATGCCAATGTAGTCTTGTCACAGGTTTTAGTAGAATAAAATAGACAAAGGCCCCATTTAAAAAATAGTATACTAGGTGGCAAAAGAACCCTTAGGACACAAGATATCTAGAAATGTAGAGGAGAGAAGATTTATAGGGAATGTGAATAATGTCTTATCTCTAATAGATTTCTGTCCCTACACCCAAAACAACAGTATGTTGCAGCACGTAACTCATCATGCTTGAAAGGCAGTATTTTTAAGTGCAAGTGGTCTTAATTGTGTTTTTTGCAAATGAGTGAAAACTCATTAGAATTAGTGACTATAAAGTCACTGAGAATCAGAAATCCTGATGGACTTCAGTATGCAAGCAAATGAACATGACATATAATTTCAAAATAATAGGGTGATTGATAAAAATATATCCCAAAATAAACTTGTAGTGCCTTATACGAACAATTGCCAGGCTATTGTCAGGCTTCATTTATACCTGTGCACCCCTTTAGTTCATGTGATATGCAAGGACATGAGTGAGAATGGGAGGCGTCTAATTAATATCTGTAACATGATCTGAGAGAAATATCTGGTTTTGCAGAAGATAGAGAAAATTTTTCTAAAAATGTACTCTTATTGTTTGCCTTCTCTTTCAGGTGATCTGGGCTTGATAATAATCTGTGAATACCTGTAGGTGACAGAGATTTTTAATAAGGTAGAAAATCCATGATAGCTGGGAAAACTGACTACCCTCTAAAGCTGACCACCCTCTAGAGCTCAATGACTTACCTAAGATCTAAGAATTTTAAGAACTGGTAGGTCTCCTTTCTAATCTTCAGTGTATAGATATTTATGCTGAACCTTTCCCTGACCAGTGAACTTAATGTCAGAAAGACAGGTTTCTCTTTTTCACATCCTCTTGAAAATACAACTAATTGAAGGTTTGATTAAACCTTCATATTTATTGATTAATATCTTGAAATATTGACTAATGTCTTGAAAAACTGCTGCTAAAAAAATGATTAAAAATTTCCTGGCATTACTGCAGTTTTTCTTTGCACTGGTATGATGGCTGTTTTCTGATATGAGCTGGCCATGTAACAAATTAGCTTTCAGAAAATATTATGTTCCTGGTTCTATGGTCCTGGCTTTCTAAACGGGCATTTACTTCAGAATTACCCTTTTCCTCAGAAATTTCCTAATATAGAATTCTCTGTCATGCCTTTCGTTTCATTCCTTTATCTTACCAATCTTGCTTTAACAAAACAAATTTTATTCTTACATGTGAGTTTATTTTTAAGAATGCAATTTCTTTTCAAAATATCACTGTTGGAAACCTGTATTATTTCAAAGCCTCCAGAATAAAACATAACCATATTTGTCTTTTTTCGTATGCCAGACACAACTGTCCCTGAAGGCCCTGGTGACACCTTCTGTTGAAAGGAGAAGCAATTGCTACGGTTAGTTTATTAGCTGGGTTCTCACTGGCTGCTAAAATAGGTCACAAAGATACAGGCACCTGGAGCAAATCAGTTTAATTGCTTTTTTGTTGGAAATGCTTTCTGATCTGCTTTTACGTTTTCTCTCTTTCTGCTTACTTTCTTGCCTTTTTTTGATATATTTAAGGGCACTGAAGTCAAGAGTAAAATGCAGCACTTGGTATCTGAACTTGAACCAAAGGCTATATATAGACACACTCAAATCCATTAGTCTCCTGAGCTGCTGGTATTTGGCAATTCCTTCATAATCACAATCTGACACATTTGTAAAGGAAGTTACAGTGTGCATACTAATACAGCTTATTTTAGTATTTGCTTTCTCTGCAAGATCAAGCACTAATTTAGATGCTCAAAATAGCTCTCCAAACGAACCTGTGACTCTCCTGTTTCTCTCCTGTGACTTACAAAGAAACTATGGATACAGGGCACTGGATTTGGATATTGAAAATGCAAATGCTGCTTAGGCATATAATGAAAGTATGTATGTTTAGGTACAAAAGTAGATATTGGTCTGACAAGGGTCCTCAGTCAGAGTAACCCTAAACTTCAACTTCAAGCCTCATTTGAAATGTGAAGTTCGTGGCCTGCCTCTTCTCAGCAGGACACAGCTTTTATGCTGCATTAGAAAAAAATATAGGGAATTGGACAATTAGAAAGATGGTCTAGGTGGGAAATATCTGGCAGTTTTAACCTATAAAAGCTTCTTAAACTCACATGTATTAGAGTGTAGTAGGTGGAGTCTTCTGGATTATTTAATGTCTTGGGTTTTCGTGGCCTTCTTGGGGGTCTCTGCATTGGGCGAGAGTCTTCTACTTTGGCCACAACTGTAAAAAATGAGAAGATAGAAATGCTTATTTCTTTACAGAATTGGGAGGTTTCTGAAAAAACAGGAGAAAATTTCAACAAAGAGAGAGAGAAAAAAAAATCCACATAGCCACTTTTACTGCTTGCAATAACCCAAGAAAGCAAATGATTTGGGCATTTCCATGAGCAGAGAATGGGTTTATCCATTTGGGTCCTGACTGCCCACAGGAACAAATGCCACCTAACGAATGCCAGGCTGGAACAGCCCAGCAGTCTGCCTGGCACAAACCTCTCCTTCTGAAAGGGCTGATGCTCCACATTCAGAAAAGGGCTTTGAAGGGTAATGGCTACTGGGAGACCCCTGTCTTGTAAGGGGGACAGGTGGTAGGGATGATGTTTCTTTCAGATTCAAGTCAATCTTTAAGGAGGGAACTAGCATTAGGCCTCAGTTTCAGAGGTTGATCCTCTATATTATCATGGTGTTGATTTTCCTTAAGGTCTCCTGCTGAGGCTTTTAGTTTCAAGCCAAATCACGTACCACTGGACAACACAGCATGACCATGTTCATCGCATCCAGTGTAGTCTAGTTTAGTGTACTCAAATTCTGGTTTCTATTTCTACAAAAACTTTCTGCAAACATGCAAAAAATGCTTTCACTCTAATGGAAGCAAAATCAAGATTTTAACACAAAATGGAACTAGTGTCCTCTGGCAGTCTCCCAGTTCAAAGTTAGACACTGACTTGTGGATTACATTGGCTGGCACATAGGGAACTATAAAAATGTCTTGGGCGTTTGCTTGTTAAAAATCTGTTTTGACAGTGCTAGGATAGAGGGCTACTAAGGTTTCATAGGCTGTTTGTCACAGAGCCAACACAGAGTGCAGGGGTCCTTGTGCCTATTCTCGGAGACCACAGAACTGGGTCTGTGGGCCGAGGGACCAGAAATGTACAGCATGGTGAGCATGGTCACCTTCATTCACTTCAGCTATAGGAAAAGTTGACAGAGAGTGACAGCAATTCCTTCATGATGAAGGAGAAGGTGGTTGCATGGCAGCAGAACTATGATAGAGATGGGTCATAGGGATACATACAGGGTGATGAATGAAGTCACAGCACAAGGTTTAGGCACAGTGAACTGTGTGTCTAAGGTATATTGCATTATCCAGTGAGGTTTTATCTTGTCCCATCACAGAAATACTCAGGACAATCCATGAGAAAAAAACATCTCCTTACTCATAAATGAATATAGTGTGAGGGTAGAATGGGGATCTGGATCCCAATAAATTGCTCAAGTGTGTTCTGGTGATATTATCCTCTTTCACATGAAATGACTTTATAACCCAGATGTGCTAACTAAATGTGATTGAGTCTTAGAGGAAAAATGTATTTTGATCCCTAATGACCATCAGAAACCCTTTTACATGATAAAAACTCTCCCATGTACAGCAGACATCTTTTTAATTAAGGACACACAATCATTTAAAATGAGAAACGATCAGTAATACATCAGTGTTGACTCCTGCAAAATTAGCTGTTTAAGTTTTTTGTTATTTGTGATAAATAAAGGCTTGTAAAGGTCATGGATATACAGAGCAGCCAGAATGAATAACATTAATTTAAATCGTAGTTGGATAATGATTGCATTTATTGTTTTAGTTTCTTATTTGAAATGCAGACTGCTTCTCGTGTAATAAACAAACGAGTATTTTTTTTAATATTTTGCACTTAAGAGAACAATGGTGTTTTTCTAAGCCAGGTTACAGATAACTCATGTTAAACAATGAATTTTAGATGCAATACATTCTTTTCAGTAAGCTGTATTAAATATAAATGACATTCTTGATTTCAGTAAGTATTGACTGTGCTCTTAATGTGGGCTGTTGTTACCTTGCTGCATTTCAAATGGGCCACCTTGAGTTATCTGACTTCCCATTTGTGAAAGAGTAGAGGCATATCTGCCCTATTTTATTTTTAAACACAACAGGAGTCTAAACTGGAAACACTACCTTAAAAGAAATCCTTTAAAATTCAGCGCAGCTGAATAGAAACACCTAACACCCTATCTGTAGGACACTTTCAAAAATTGTGACAAAGATGATGACTGCATGAAAATCTAAAAAAAGAAATGAAGCCAAATTGGGGGCTTTAGGAAAATTGCAATGAAAAGGCTCTCATAATACCTAAAGATTTTTTACTGTCCCCTAAGAATTCATCACTGTGTATGCTGTTATGTTATTTAATTCATCACTGTCAAACAGATAAAGCATTATTGTATTCTAGATTACAATTATTCCAACTGAAATTACTTGTATACTTTTTGTGTATGTGCTCTCCAAAGAAGACTAGTTTTTACATTCAAAAAATACCATTTCGACAATGTTAAAAAAGGGTTTTCATCTCGGCTCTTGTGTTGTACATATGTATAAGCTATGCAAAAGAGTTGAAGGGACAGAAATACCATGTTGGGCCAGGCAGCCTTCTAAGTTTGGACCTCCATTGTTCCTTTCTAAAATTAAATATAGAGCTGAAAATGCAATTCTGAGGTTTGCCTCCAAATTACACAGTAAGGTTATGCTTTCTTTGTTTCACCAACAAGCAGAGCTGCGATTTCCTTCTGCACTTAGACTTGTGTGATCATTGCTACTGAAATTCAGGAGATGTGTAGTTCCTTGTATTGGATAATACAAAGTAAATTTTGCTTTTTTATTAGTTGCCGAGAATGTCAGAAATCATTTACTTAGTAGAATTGAAGGTGGAAGGCAAATGAAATATCCAAGCCTTATAAATGGCGAATTTGATGTTCTTGTTTTCCAGATGGCCTATACCTTTCTGCAATAGGCAATGAAGTAGAAAGGAGGGGTGAAATAATTAATTTATGAACAGGGCAATTATGTTGCTTCTAGAGACCATTACAAAGAAAATATCTTTATAGAAGTCCAGTCTCTCCATAGTAAAATATCTTGCAGCCTATTTTCCTTAAGACTTCAAATATCTCTAGTAAAATCTGGCTGTGTGCTTTATATGTAAAAGAAAAACTGATGCTTTCCCTCTAACAATCATTTAAAAAGGTACTTTGCAACATTGATACAAAAACCATTCACATAGCACCTATTGAAGCAGTTCGGAAGCTTCAGGTCGGCACTATCATCCCTATCCTACCAGCAGGGTAAATCAGATACATATGGAAACTTGCTTAACTTTATATTCCAGTTAGTCATCAGCAGAGCTAAGGACCTGGACTGAAGGACTGTGCTGAGACTCTTGTCCCTGCAGCCAGCCCACACTTTGCTGTTTTAGTACCTGAACAGGTGCTGTCAGTGTTGCAACGTGTGGCCTAGAAGCAGTGCATAGGAGAAACTGGAAACAACAATATTTGATGCAACACAGACATTCCTTTTTAAAGGTTTTACCAGGAGGAAGACAGGCTGAACAACAGATTGAAAGGGGGGGATTTTCCTCCTCAAACTGCCCAAGTGCATCCAGTCAGTACTTGATTAGTCAAAAAAAAAAAAAAAAGAGGTTTTGCTCTCCTGACCTGGATGCTTTGCTTTTGACAGCCAATGTCAGCCATGCCCTAACACATCCCCAGGAAGTTAAATCTCTCTCCTGCCCAAACCTGAAGCAGACTGTCAAAGCATACATTTCATCCAGTGATGATGGAAAGTTTAATAAAAGTTAAAGTCATTCTCCATGAGAATGAATGAAATACAGAGTTAAGAGTCAGCAAAGGCATGTGAACAATGTGGCTGCCAGATAACATTAAAGAAGCTTTAGCAAATCTAAGGAAAATTCCTTATTTCTATCAGTATCTCAGCTAGCTCATTTAGCACTACCTCAAAGGTTCCTATCTAAGTTACACACACAGTCAATTCTACAAATATTAATACTTTCACTCTCAGCCCTCACTGAAAACTCCAAATATGCTGAAATGCTTACCATATGCATGTGTATCCTCAACAGTACTGCAAACTACAGGAACTGTGGAGAGCTGCGTGTGTTTGAAACGTTCAAGGATGAGCAAGAAATATTTGAATAAAGATGAGCCAGTATCAACAGCCCTTTAGGTTGAACTGTGTCTGCACATTTGTACATACAATGATAAGCTTGGAAGACAGCAATCTCAAGGAATCAACGTCCATGGATGCTAATGTAAATTAACTATGACTTACAACAGATTTTATACTGAAGACTGGAGAAATAGCATGGTTACAGCTCTGATAAGCATCTATGCGATGAAAGGTCTCTATTTATTAGGCCACCTGGAGAAACAGATAAACCCATCTTCAGGTCATTTAAGTGAAATATTACATGTTTGATTTAGAGCCATTCCACAACTTATGGGAACAGAACTATAAAGCCAGCCTCAGTATAAAGCAGGAAACAGAACAAGAGTAAAAGCAATAATTGTATAGGATTTGTAGAGGCACTTGGAAGTAATCAGAAGAAATGCAAATATAGTAACTGGAATTCCAGGACTTGATAATGAGAAGTTAACAGGTGTTACTGCTTACAACATCTATGTGCATACCTTTTTACTAATTGTACACAGTATGAGGATGTAATTACTTAAGGTTGCACTGCTGTTTAGCATTCTGGTTAGTAATTTTTACGTATTGTTTATTCATGGGATGTTACCCAGAGCCAGATTTGGAAATTATGGTTGATGGTTGCAAATTCATAGCAATCTGGAAAAAACAGAGGGATTATTCTATCACAACCTAGAATTAGAAACTGCAAGAAACTGAGAACTTTCTGATTGCATATGGAAGTTGAAAGTGTTTGATCTCTCATACCTAATTCCCACAGCCCCACTGAGGGAAGTTTCAGTCTCTGGCTGACACTAATACAGAATCACAGAATCATATACATTGGAAAAGACCTCCAAGATCATCCAGTCCAGCCTTTGACTGATCACCTTGTCAACTAGAACATGGCACTGTTCTAGTCATTTCTTGAACACCTCCAAGGATGGTGACTCCACCACTTCCTGGGCAGTTCATTCCTATGATTAACAACCCTTTCCATGAAGAAATTCCTCCTGATGCCAAACCCAAACCTCCCCTGGCACAGCTTAAGACTATGTCCTCTCGTCCTGTTGCTGGTTACCTGGAAGAAGAGACTAGCTCCCATCTGGTACCACCTCCTTTCAGGTGGTTGTAGAGAGTGATAAGGTCACACCTGAGCTTCCTTTTCTTCCAGATTAAATAACCCCAGCTCCCTCAGATGCTCCTCATAGGACTTACCCTCTAGACCCTTCAGCTTCATTGCCCTTCTCTGGACTTGCTGTCATTTCTGAGAGCCTGGTGACTTGGGATTACTGCTTTTTAAGAGAGGATATTTAAGAAAATGGCTGTACTCCACTTCCATGACCTCCTAAATCTTATGCTCTGCCATGGACCTGACCAACTCCCAACACATATCTTTTATGTCCTGGCTGTATGGTGCCCAAAGGGCCACTCCAGTAGCTGAGAACAACCAGATGGTAGAAGTGCTTGATTACTCTGTTTTTCTCCAGTCCCAGTGCTCCCTCCATACTCAGTGCTCCTGCCTGATCACTCACTTGCAAAGAAGAAAGTCTGGCCAGTGAATACTGCTCTGCTCATGCAGTGCTATACAGACTCCCTTTTCCTTGCAAAGTCTGCCCATTAAACTCCCATAAATATTGCTTTGACAGCCTACAGCAGGAGGAATCCTGGATGAAAACCCTACCTGTCTCGCTGCTTTGTCCAGCTGGAAAGGTCCTCAACTGCACTGGAGTTCCTTATATCATGTAAATTTCATTCTAAATACAGAAAATTCTCTTCCCAAGATTTTGTATTTGAACTGTCATTTAATAATTAGAAAGACGGGCACTATTATTCATTTGGAGAAAAAAGAAAAAAATTTGCACCCATAATGGTTGAATTCCCCTCACTTCAGGCTTTGACCTCAAAAAACTCGACAGCAGCTATTTGTGCCTCCATTCTGACACCACAGTAAACCAAGGCTCACTAGCAGTCCAACAGTGCAGTTCTAGGATGGAGCCACTACATTTAGCTTAAAGCATTCAAGCAAGTAAATATAACCTACTCAGAGATTCTAGCCACAGGGAATATTGCTTATTCCAGGAACCTTGTGCAGCTTCCTTTATGCATTTTATAAATACAAATAAATTCACTGAAGAACAACTTAACCTTGTGGATTTAAGATTCATTTAACCTTTTGCTCATATGCTCTTTGAACTGCAAGTTTTGCATTTTCATTAAAAAACCCCAACCCAAACAGTTTCAAAAATCTGAACATTTGTCCCCGTACACCATCCAGCAGTCTCTCAGTTCCTCCTCTTCTGTGGGTAGCAATGTAATAAAATATTTTATCAGAGGAAGTGTTAAGTTCTCAAACTGTGCAATAGCCACCTACCCACACGGGAAGGTAGCCAAGCATTCCTATCTAGCACACAGCTATAATATACAACTCACATACTATGGCTGCAGAACAACATATAAAACTAGTGAAGCTGATGAAGCAGGGTATATAAATGTAAATGACCAAAGTAATTACAAACAGGTAAATACCACATGATTTAAAGAACACCTAAAGCTCAACAATCCCTACCTTCATAAAGGTAGGACAGCAAATGTAGCCATAGAGGGAAAGCTCCAGTAAAAGTACATCCTTCCGTAATTGTGTGTGTGTAAATCCTACTGTAACACATAATGTAGCCAAGACATAGGAAGATCCCTGCAGTGGATCACCACTTCTATCTGCTTCACTTCAGCATGACTGTCTGCAGTATATTACCTCAAATATTTGGGGTTTTTGGGGTTATTTTACTATATTGCATTCAGGAAGGAAGTATGATCCAGAATGTTGGAAAGTCCTGTGTTTTAGACACTACAATCTAAATGAACTCAACACAGGTATATCGTTACATAAATATTCTCTATATCTAGGTAGATCATGTTTGTTATAATAAACATCTACTTAAGACAAGGCAGCTTTGTGATAGAGCTCTCTAATGCTTGGGCTCCAACTGGCTTGAAGGCAATCTGGGGAATTACTGTGGTGTATTCTCTTACTTTATTATCTTGTGCATTGGTCATAGCTGGAAAGTTTACCTGTCATGTAAATTATATTCAAATGTAGAAAAAGAAAGTTCACATTCCACATCAAGGAGGGTTTTTCAGTGGAGTGGTTACCACACTTTACTGCTGGAAAACGTTTGCATTGTGACACCACAGAGGTTTACAGCAGCACACCATTTTCAGAGATAAAGGAAAGTAGGTGACTGGTCATCCCTTTAGACAGGGTTGGAGACACAGGTGACAAACCCTGGTGTGCTTTTGTCTCCTATAGAGCTACTTAAATTATTAGCAGTGTGAAGCATAGACTTTGTTGTATTTTGCACATGGCATAAACATACTGTTACATTTTCACCTGGTTCACTTGTGCAAGTGATGAGATCTTTAACTGATAAAACAGGGATTTGTGTATTCCTTTTCCTTCTATCTAGCTCTTTTCTCTAGCTTCTGCAGGACAATGTGTTAGAACCAAGAGTTATTTTCCCAAGCATGCATTTTTAATTCCTCAGGTGTATCTTGTCAAAAGTCAGCAATATTTAATACAGAACTCAGTACAAACCCATTAATGACAATCACAAACATTGCTCTGTCCTTAATGAAAGCTCATGGCACTTAGTTTTCCATTTCCCCTTTCTTTTCTTTTGCAGACTTCAGTCTTGGAAATAGGCTGAACTACACAGATTATCTACCAGCAGCTGGTTTACACTTAGAGGTTTAACATTTGTGAACACCAAGCCCCTATTTTAGCAGAGAGGACTCCAAAGTGGGATTGAAGTACTTTTAGGATCTTTTCAATGTATTCATGGGAACAGAAAGAAGTTCTATCACACATGACAACTGAATCCAAAATGGTATGATGAAAATAGCACAATTAGGTCTGGGCAGTAAGAGACAGTCCTGGATCTTACTTGTTCCAGCTATGTAGAGGTGAGCAGAGATCTTCCCCAGAGGCAGTGCAGTGGGCTAGCACAAGCCCTGCTGCAGAAATGGAGACCCGCCCAGTTATCTGCCACATCTGCCTTCATCTTCCTCCACATCTGCGGTCCAAGACATGGGCTGAGGAAATTCCCTGTAGTGTCTATTCCAACTGAATAGGCTTAAGCAGCTTAATCAGCTCTTTCTGGTCCTCTCAGTGGGGCACAGGTCTTAATGATCTGCATGCTCAGAGTCCCATGTCTTTCACCTTTATTCTCCCAGTACTCCTCCCCAGTGCCACCTAAGCTGCTCCAAGCGTGCTCGCATTTTGGGAATCTTCACTGCCTGTGTTAACTGGAATATAAATAACTTCCGAGTGTATTTCCAAAGGTCATGTCCTCTTAAGTGTGTGAGTTAAATGGATGCTGAATATTAATAAAACTTTACTTGCAGTTTTAAGAACATACCCACCAACATGGGTAGGAGTTACAGGTTTTGAATAACCTCAGTTGCATTTGTGGATAGCTAAAAATTTTTTCAGCATATATGTAACAAACTTTGGCTAATTGTTTTACAAATTACGTAAAAAAATGGTTAGTTTTTAAGCATAGTCCCATATCCTACCAATAGCAAATACAGTTGAGCAACATGAGTTAAAAAGAGCCAATACGGAATTTTTACCAAATGAAAGTATTCCTAGAGATTCTACGTCTAGGTCTCACAAGGATTCATTCACCAACCTTAAGCAGCACTGAAACAAAATGCCAAGAAAAATTGTAAATACATAAATTCCAACCAGACTTGGATATTTCTCTGGAAACTGGGTTCCAGATATGGGCCTTAATACAAAAATATACTGCCTGAGTTATATGAGAAGCTGGAACTAACTCATTGCTAGTTCTCTGGCCTTTAAAAACATGACTAGGAGTTGCTTCTTCACAGTCCTCTTCACAAATGAAAATTCTGCTGACAGAAAGGTTAAACATTACCTGGTTGACAAACATGAGAAGACAGACGGCCATTAGCTTGCTTATCTTTGGACAGCATCACAGGTCTCAGCTGATGGGACAATATCATTTCATTCAGTTTTTGCTGCAATGCTAAGTAGTCTTCGGATAATTTTGATATCTGAAAAATACACCACAGGTTTTTACATTATTGTAAAAATAAGTATAAATGTTCCAAGGTAATCAAAGGTAAAATAGTAGACTAGAAAATTAATTTAAAAGGTATTCCTCCACCTACTGCAGTGTAGGAAGATGGCTGAGGGTAGAATTAGAGGAGACTAAGAATTACAGGGTAAAATGCAACTGATACTCCCTGGATGGAATGCAGTTGACATGCTCCACAAGGACTCCCCATACCGTAAGGACCTGCTATGGGGGATGGAACAGAAGGTGGAGCAGACTGGACACACCGCAGCCTCCCTCCATAGAAATCCCTGCAGGGAGGGGGACATGGTGGTACTTTGTAGTTTCCAAGACTGCATAGCACCTGTCAACCAAGGGAGACAGATGAAGATGTCCTCCTGCCGAGCCAACAACTATGTCGAAATCTCTCTCCTCAGATGAACTTGGTTCATTAAAGCCTAGCGGTAACATTAAAGCACACCTTCATCCCAAAATTACCCACCTCTAAGGTGTGACCACCCTCCACTGAGCATGCACCCTGTATTCTTTTGACTGCATCTTTCAAAGTGAAGCAAGAGAATTTAACACCAATCAGAAACAAAGGTATTTATGACTAAAATCACTCAAGCTCCACCTAAACATAAAGGAATAGTATAAAAGTCAGTTGAGAATAGGAAGAAAAGGGGGAAGGCTCTACTGAAACTGCTGGGATCAGTCAACAGGATGCCCCTGCCTTCTCCCCCTATAGGGATGCCTATGGGGTAAGAACTATACCCTATGCTTGCTGAATATTGTTATTAGGATTAGAGCTGGCTTTATAGTATAGTATATTGATTTAAATACGTTTTTGCAGCCAGATACTATCCCTGGCAATCTTTGAACCTTATTAACCTGTTACTATTTGTATTAATAAAGAGTGCTATTCCAGAAACGGTTAGAGCGAGCCCTTTACAGGTGCTAGCAGTTGCCAGCTGTGGATAACATGTTCTAATAAAGTGAGAAGACCTGCTGAGGGTCTTCTCCCAAAGAAAAGGAAGACAAAAAAAAGACGCACAGGACACTCCACACCAGTCCTGCAGCTACTTCTTATTGGTTCACACCTGTGAGCAGATTGTGCCTTGCTGATGCAAGATTGCTTTTACAGCTATAGCCAAACTTCTCTGCACATGTGTGAGTTCCTGACATTGACACAGCAACTTTTAGTTTCATTTACACAGACATTTCACAAGTTTACTGAATTAAGGACTGAGATGGGTAAACAAACATTTCAACAAACAAAGGCAAAGCTTTAACTTAAAAACTTTAACTTAAAACATTAAGTTAATTTTAACTTAAAAACATTTAACTTAAAAACATTATTTTTGCTAGTGCTCTTTGTCTTTTCCTCCTTCCTAACAAGGCTATTTTCTCTTGCAGACCAAAATATGCATTCTTATAGAACACAAATGACAAAATCTCTGTCTTATAGAGTAAAACCTAGGTGCCACTGAAGTCAGTAAAATACCTTTGCCATTCTGTCATTGCCAGAGTATTTTGCTCAACATACCTTGCTTACAAGCTTCTTACCTGTCGTGAAAAGGCTGCCAAATCACAAGCCTCTTTCTCTGAGTCTCCCTTCAGTGTCTTAGAGTCTTCAGCCTCTCTACTGGTGCTTTCCCTATGTTTTATTTTTTGGGGGTTGTTATTTTGAACACATACTGCTTCTGTTGGATTCTTTGTAGTTTTCTCTTGACTTTTGCAGGGTAGTTTCCCTTCTTTTCTGAGTTGTCCCCTCCTTCTGTAACCCCGGTAACTGCTCTGAATAACCACTGCTGCCTTCTCTTTGTCTTCTGAACCTTGTTTTTCTGCCTCAGCTTGCTTTCCTGAGCCTCTTCTTAGTGACTCTTTTCTTATAATTCCTTTACATCCTGTAGGCATCACTGCTTCATGCTTCAGGTTGTTTCTTTCCACATCCCTGTTGGTCCTGGGCTGGACCACAGCAGATTCTTGATTTTGCTGATCTGCACTGAGTGTGTCTTGATTATCTTGATCTTGCTGGGGACTAGGTTTGGCTGTGATTTTGAAAGAAGATTTGATGGGTAACTCTTCCAAAGAGTCCTGTTCTTCACCCTCACTGCTATGTTCTTCTGCAGGGTTCTGCTTCACAGAAGCTGCCTCTTCTTCAGTAGATGTTTTCTGTTGCTCCTGTATGTTCCCTGTGTCACTGTACTTGGAGCACAGGCTGTCAGTGACTGCATCAGTTTTATCTTGAGTCTCTTCAGCTGCCGCTTCTTCCAATGCATCATTTTGAGCTGGCTGCAGTTGTGCTTCAAGGAATTCCACAGCAGATAATTCATCCTCTGCTATGATAGCTGCTTCTTCTTCCGTCTTAGGAAGGGCACTCTTCACTCCAGTTGGACTTTCCTCATTACCTTGAAATTCTTCATCATTTTCCTTCTTGCGAATGGATGCTGCGTTTTCAGTTTGTTGCTTTCTAAGTGATTCCCTGAATGGAACAGAGTTTCGAGTAAAAATTATAGCTAAAGGAGATGAAGAATAGCGATAACTTTACAACTACCTTTGGTGGTCTTTGTGTACTAAATGGCAATTTGATACATTGCAACATGGGACAGATTTAGTGCATATAGCTGGAATTAAAGATTGTTGTTGTTATTATTATCTGTTAAAGTGAAAAGGGACATTATATTTTTATTATTATTATCGTTATCATCATAATCATTAGTATCATTATTATCTCTTAGAGTGAAAAGGGACATCCCTGTTAAATTTCACAGAAAATTGCTAGGGAGACAATCTAGGCTATGTGAAGGCTGATAAAGCAGTAAAGAATTAATTTAAATGTTAAGAAAAACACAAGGCATAAACTTTTTAGCTTCTCAAGAATATATAAATACACACAATCCTAAACGTATTCATTCTTGACTGTCTCAAGTCACACTAGGAATGCAAGAAGAGTGATCCTGGGCGTAGGTCCAGGTCATATTTCAAAGACATATTCCTTAAACTGTCTTTGTTACTATCAATAAAACTTCCGTGCCAGATGAAATCTGGCACCCTGTTCCTTCCCGCTGAAGAGTCTGAGGTCCTTCATAGCTGTTTTCCACTTCTATGGACTAGTTTCCACCTATTTAAATCCTATCACTGAAAAAAACAATGGAGATGAGCAAAGTGCTACTAGCTCCATTTCAGAGATTCGGACATTGCAGAGATATTTAGAGTGTGATTCACTTCACCTAGTTTGCAGCTGTTTGATCTGAGCAAGACAATGGGGTTCACCTCTGTCATCACCTATGCTGATCTCAAACAGTTGCTTAAGATGAGGAGCAGTTCCTTGCAGACATCCATCTCACTCTTGTCTGAAAATTTTTATGATGAGCTAGTTCCAGAAAGAGACTCATCGACAGATTCCATTAACATTACAAGTAAGCACAATATTGTTGACCTTTTCCCTAAATAATGCCTTTATTCCCTGGGCTTGAAAAGATGATAAAAATGGTTACTGACATTAAAAACCTCCACATAAATGTACATTACCTCTGCCTACATATCTAGAATAACCCTAGTTTGTTTCACTCTTAGCTTACAATGTTGTTATTCAGCAATGTAATTACTGGAAAGGGACACATTTGAGTGACATAAGAGAAAATAACATTACCTTCTGCTTTTGAAGATCTTCCTCTCCTTATATCCTCTGTAGTGAGACTGAATTATTATTGCTGATTTGTGTCTTGTCTCAGTTAGTTCTTTTCTCTTCTTCCTGAGTAAGTATCCTCTGGCAACTGATACAAATTGTAATGCAAAACAACAAGCAATGGGTGTCACACACATTTCAGACAGTCAAATGATAACAGCATTAAAGAAAAGCCAATACGGAAATACAGACCAGGGTGCCCATTATGATTATGTTTCATCTGAAATGATTATGTCCCACAAAACTTTTTTGAGATTTTAGAAAGCTGTACCCATTCTACACGAGGATAAAAACAAGCTCTTTCCTCATATTTTATCATGCTAGAGAAAATACAGGAAGATGCAGAATGAAGCAGAAGCATAGTGCTATAGAAGTGCCTCTACAACACAGTACTCTAAGCTTCTTGTACCTGCTTTGCCTGATTCAGGCAATTGATTTTACTCTGTCTTTTATTTCCCTAGGAAATGCCTGATTATCAGCCTATAGAGATTACCAGGCTGTCAACTGGCACAGGCTTGGAATTAGATGAACGTTCAATAGATCAGAGAAAAACTGAAAATTTTATAGCCCAGTAGTCACAGAAGACTTAGCTCATGCTCCTTCTGCAAAGACTCATTATTCAAAATGAAAAAGCTCACCATGAAAGATGTGCTAAGCTCCACAGTAACCAGGTGCACTGTGGCATAGGAACTCACTACTTGTGCTTTGGGGGAGGCACAGGTTAAAGTCTCTGATCTGAACCAGAAATAAGGACTCAGACATGGCCCTTCCCTGAGACAGGTAGGTGCTAACTAGTCACTAGGGCCTTGATGCAGTTGCTGGCACACTGGTATCTAGTGCCATCTGAAGTGCTCCAGGATAGCCAAGGCATCTACATGGAGCTGGCGGAAAGAACAAGACAGATGGGACTTTCTGGAGAGGGAAAGTTGGGTGAACAATGTGAAATAAAGCTGGAGGGCAGGCAGGATAACCGGGGCACCTCAAATGACACTAGATATCAATATGGGGGCAAATGAGCTGAACATTTGGTGGTTTTGAATAAAATGAATCAAACTCTATGCTCTACTGACTCTAAGAGCATTTTAGACACCTAGGTCACATTTAGACATCTACACTGAAGTGTCTTAATCAGAAACTGAATTGCATTCAGAATGTTGCCTCAAAAGTCTCTGAACTTGCAAATAATTTCCTAACTGGCACAGTCTCCACAGTGCTGTGATTTGGGCAAGTCTGCAATTCCAGGGATTCAGCACAAATCCACTAATCCCTGGCAAAATAAAAAGGACATAGTGTTTTGTCAAAGTATTTCTTTTGAACTCTAATTCCAAATGCAGTACCAAGAGTATGGGGATAGAGTACTTAATGGTGCTTTAGATATCCTGCAGACAAGGTAGATATGGGAGCTCTTACTCCAACTGTGCTGAGAGTCTTGCATCACAGGAAAGGTCAAGCTCACTTGAGAATGGAGCATAAGGAGTCTATTTTAACACAATCATATAACTTAGTGACAGGGCCTTAGGAAAGTGCAAATTGTAAAGCACTTGGAATACTTTTAGAGTTTCTTGAACTTATGAGCCAAGTCTTATCCCATTTTCATACGAAACCAACTCAACAGGAGTTATTTTGAAACAAATCAAGTTATGTTGTCAATGGACATGCCAATATAAGCTATGTCTGGTCTTTATAGACTTATTCTGGTTCATCTTTGAAGTCTTCTGAGAACTTTGCTATGAGATAGTAGCTGTCTAAGCTTTGTCTTCAAACTGAAAGAGGAGTTTTGCATTGCTTTAGAAATAAATGGGGGGGGAGGAACTGAGAGAGATAAGTAAAAATGGACTTCCATTTTGTCCTGGTTTCTCATGCACTGAAAAAAAGTTGAAATGAAACTGCAGACAGGACAAAGAAGGTGGTCAAGAAGAAACATTGGGGATATCAACAGAGTAAAGTGGTAAATTCATACTTTTGCATTTGCTAAATATCGTAATATAATTGACAACTTTCAGATGTCTAATTATTCTTTGTGCTTTACTGGATTTTATGCAGGTTTTAGATTGTTTTTTGATGAAGTTCTACCAACTGCAGTGAAGTGATCTTCAGTATGCACTAGCACTGGCTCAGTGCAATTAACAGATGCATCTGACAAGGATTAAAAGCAACACTGGTGGTGGTATATACTCATGAAGGCATATCTGAGGTGGTTCAAATCTAGATAACCTGGGTACTCACAGCACTAGCTCATATTTGGGTTGTCACCTTTGTAATTATTGAAAAAATTGTGCAGATTTGTGCCAGCCGCTTTTATAGAATCATAAAATCATACAATGCTTTGGGTTGGAAGGGACCTTAAAAGATCATCTAGTTCCAACTCCCTGCCATGGGCAGGAACACCTACCACTAGAACAGATCTCCCCAAGCCAGATGTAGCCTAGGCAGCTCTGAAATCAGGAGCTGTACAGCTAGAGAGACACAGGTTTGAAGGCCAGGTTGGATGAGGCTTGGGGACATCTCTGCAGGGACAGGGGAGACCAAAGTACAGGAAGGAAAAAGGGATGTCCCATGGCATACATATGGGCCCAAGGTCATTATCACTGCAAAAGAGAAACAAAGTGATGGGCAAAATAAATAAGAGACATGAGTGAAACTACAGATTGCAGTCTTCTCAAATATACCTGTTACTGATACATAGCAAAACCTAGTCCTAATTAAACGGCATGAATACACACATTATACAGACAGTGTCATATGGGTTTCAACAATACCAGCTGTAATACTTGAACATCTTAGACTAGCAGTGAAAAGGCTTGCTATGGCATTTGAGCATCCCACTTCACAGCTGTGGAAAGTGCCTCTAAACCCCTTTGAGATAGAGATAACAGAATACAGTCATCCATTTCAACCACTGTATGTAGATAGATAATAGATAAATTATACTCAGAACATGTAAATGAGCATAGTCACTCAGCATAGTTAGAATCTGGATCAACATATTGTGTATGTATATAACAATATAAGCTACAAAAGCAAACAATTCTTACTTGCTTGAAATCTGGTAATGTATTCTTCCACTTTTTTATTATGTTTTGCATTTTTGTATTCTTTACGAGCAACAAACCCCCTGTAAGCTGGAAAGAGATGTCAAAAGTTAAATAATTCATTAGGTACTAAAAAGGCTCTAAGAATAGAAAAAAGTCTGGAATTACAGACCTCTATTAAAATATTCATAAATATTTTGCAGCATTTATCTTTCAATAAACATGGCAAATGAGCATGAATAGTAAATCTACATAAAAACTACATTTCTGGTGAGTAAAGTTATTATGAATTAGATGAATACAAAACACAGGAGAATCAGAATGTAAAATAAGATGATGTTTGAAAGTATTAAAAAATTCAGTTGATGTCTCCATCAGTGGGGTAATTGGCCTTATTATCTAGGACAGTTAATACATTTTATTTTCATTATTATATTATACAACCTTGTCAATGCATGCCAGAATATTATTAATAACAGTATCATCTGTGCAATCACATCCTTCCATTCTTAAAATTGCCTTTTAAATGTAACACTGAGAAATGTAATTTCAGCAAAGCGATTGTCATAACCTGGTTAAAAGAAATTTTTCTTCATAAGAACAGATATCACCAAATACAAGATATTTTGTCAAATGTAACAGCAGGAAAAGAGCAAAATCCACATCCAGCATACACATTCATCTATCAACCGTACACATGCACTAGCTTTAAGCAAAATGTTAAATGTTTTAAAGCTGTTACCTGACTGTATTTTAACAGCACTTTGTTCCCTTTGTTCCTTTATCTTTTTGTATCTCCTTGAACCCAGCCACCCTCTGACATAAGCTTGAATCAAAATAATCATGTCAACTGTCTCCTTCCGCATTAAATTTAGCTGCTCCACGTGATAGTATTTGAGGAATACCTTAAAAAGAGTAGGCAAACAAGCAAAAGTTTCAGTTACCCTCCCAGGCCCTGTATTCACTCAATCCCTTTAACATCAACAAGAGTTACAAGCTGATTTCAAATGATGAACAGACTCTTCAGCTGTAGTACCTAAAGGATCATTCTTGTTAGAAATAGCATTTTCATTGTTCAGGATGTTGGTTTACCTTACTCTCCCTTTCAGCATCTCTAGTCAGTCCCTTCTTATTCATGTTTTCATGAGAAGATGTTTTTGAGTTCCAATGCAAAACTTCAGTCTGTAACTAACTGTAAATCTGTTTTCAAAACCATGAGGCTGATAGTTTTGCTAACCTCACAAATCTAATGTATGTTACATAAATATGATCCAAACCTGGAACCTTCAATCTCTCTACTTTCTAATTTTAAATTTAAAGCATTGTTTATTTACTAAATTGCTTTTATCAATAATGACACTCATATAAGCCCTGAAAAACTAGTCTAGCACAAGGGATACCAACACATTCCCGGTGTATATTAGGATAAAATAAAATGCGCAGAAAAACTTGTTCAATTAAGACAATAATTATGCTTATTTTGCAGAATTCCCTCAATCATGACCATTTGTTGGTACAGATACAGGTTAACCCTAATTAAAGTAAACATAAGCTATAGATCTCACATCCCAGGATATGATTCTTTTGACTGCATGTTGTCTATTAACCTCACAGCAGAGGAAAATAAAGGCTGAGGGGGAGGCAACTTCATGGCTTCTGTCCCATGTATCCAGGAAGATGTCTCAGAAAAACAGTTTTTCTTTTTCACTCAGGTGATTTCAAACCGTTTAGGATCCATCTCCCTATTAATATCCTTCCTAGCACTTCTGTTACAGTAGCAAATAAAGAGACGTGATGCAGTACTTGTCTGATGCTTCTATTTCTCTGTCAGATCTCCTGAGATCTGGGGTTGGGGGGGGGTGGGTGAACCTCTCTGGCACACTGGGAAGATTAGTGAGCTAGAACCAAAAGCAAGCGTATGGGAACAGATGTGTGTTTCTCTCAAAGTCTTCCTTCCACTTGACATAAATGGGATCATCCTGCTGTCTCTTCTCATAGTGCTCAGCAAAGACTGCCACAGCAGCCTCAAACTGGAAAGCCAAAACCTTTTCCTTACCCTTTGTGAGTCTGTTTGCTACAGGGAAGAAGTATAACTTCTTTTCCTTAAGAAAAGAAGCTTGGATTAAGCTTACTGGGATCCATACTAAAACATTTTTTGAAAGGAAATGCAAGCAGTGTTGTTGTCACATACTGTTTTGCATTGTGGCCTCACTAAAGCTGATGAGAATTTTAACCCTTTACAAGTTGAAGATATCAGCCAGGTATCAGGGAACTGTACCCAGAAAAAAGGAGTTTGTTTTTTAAAAATAATAGAGACCAAGAGCTACTCCAACCAAATGAGTGAGAAAACAAATTGCTTAATAAGTTAACAATGGCATACTGCAGTGATGCAGATATAGTATATTAAAAAATTACTTTAGTTTTTCCAAGAACCCAGTTGTCAAGGCGGGCTTTTTCCAAGATGGCAGCACAGGTTTCCGGACTGACTGGAGGATCATCATTTGTTTTGTAACAGATGAGATAATACCTAAAGACAAATGCATGATTTTTTATTTGATTACTAAAGAGCAATATATGCAAATACATTTAAATAATAAAAACAGTTGCCTGAAAGAAAACATAGCACCGAAAAAACTAAAACAACATATGAGAGAAATTGCTGTGATTTATATGCAGTACTGAGAAACTCAATCCAAAGCGGATGAGTGACATATTGCACACCCTGGAGGGTTGTTTAATTCTGTATCAACACCAGAAGGTTTTAAAAAGTGTGCAACTGAAGTGCAGTACTGCAACAGTTCTTTCCTGCTCTCTGCTTTCTGTGAAGGTGATTTCAGTGGCAAAATAAATATATTTTAAAAGCTTTTCTGCCTAAATTATACTATTTCATATTCAGAAATATAATGAAAATTTCATATCTTATGTCATGTGCTAGACCATCTACCTTTGAGATAGTTAACATGATGTGAGATGCATCGCAGCTCTTGTTACCTCCTTGGATTCAGCTTTGCAGATCCTTTTGGAACTGCTATGTTCCATATATGTTATGTCCAAATAACAAATGTTATGTCCAAAAGTGCTGTTATCTGTAAGCATTCAATCTGCCAGACTCATTACTCAGAATTAATTTTGATTAGGAAAAGAGGTCAGGATGCTCATGCATAAAAATTACCTGTAATACGTCAGTTCAGCTGCTGGGTAGAAAAGTTCTTGTTTGCTCCAAGACTTTCCAAAATGCTCCATAACAAAATTAACCATATCTATCTTGGTTTTTTTCTAATTCAAGAAAATTACATGAATTATGTGTGCATTCTGACAGCACATTCTGCTTTTTTTCTTGTTATTCATCCTTTATAAATAAAGGCTGAAAACCTTGGGTTTATCAGCTTTAAATAATGGCAACAGTTTGCTCATGGAATAATAAAACGGCAACAATGTCTATCCCTCCATTATCACCTACAGTTCCCTTTTTTTTTTGTAAAACACAATGAATTGGCTTATTTTTATTCTAACAAAATAATGTCACCGCTATCTCAGATCTACCTGTAACTCTCAACTATTAAAAAAACCAAACCCAAAATAAGAAGACAAATACTTAATAAAAATCCCTTTTTGTTTGAAGGCCATGTCCTCAGTGCCAGAGATACGCACAGCCTCACTGCAATCAAGGGCACACTCTCTGGAGAGCTACCCCGTTATGTTTGCTGCTTCCCTCTCTTTTACCTAAACAGTAAAGTTGTTTTTTTAATAAAGAGCAGTCGCCAAAAGCCATAGCGGATCTTGATGTGGTGATAACTATCTTTTCCCATGCTGCACTCTTCCAAAACAGCAACAGTCCTAGGATTATTCTTTCCAGAAACAGTGCTATGAAAACATCCCTTTGTTGTTCCCCTCTCTTCTCATGCACCTGCAGCACTCTGCTACTAGCTCTCTGCTTCTAGTGCTCTGTTACTTTTAAGTGGTTCTGTCTGAATGGGTATTGCTTGATTCTTCCCAGTTTTGATCTCCATTCCACACCTCTTTCAGGGTCTTTACTTGTAATAGAGAAGTGCAGATTTTTGGGGCAGAGGAAGAGACAGTTAAAGAAATTATAAATCATACTGAGTTCATTACTCTTTTTTTTTTAACAAGTGATTAAAAAAAACCTTAGGAATTATATTTTAAACAGAACTATGCACTTAATAAACTTTTCAGCCCTAGACTAGCAATACCAAGTTATCATCTACCCTACACAAGCAGATGCTGCACACTGCTGAAGGCCAGGAGCTAGAGAAATTGTGGTGCTCTTTGGATGCTGTGGCTCCAAATTCTTGGCTTTAATTTGAAGTATTACACTTCTAAACCTCAAGTCTTTGAAAAAAAAGTGCAGATTATAAGCAAGTAAATCTTACTGAAATGCACAGGGAGCCTGAAAAATCATCCTGAGATGCATCATCTGCCCCTACACATCTGAAACAGGTCACTAATCTTGTGCCTGAACTAGTCTTTGTCATCCAGACTATAATCTTTGTCACAGGAAATGTCTTTGTATTTTTTCTCAAAAGATCATGCCAAAAACACTGCTGATGCTTAAAAAATACTGGACAGCAATGGTAGGAGAGAAAAGAGCTTCTTCACATCAATGTTACCTTTTTATGAAGTTAGCAAATAGTATACGGTGTGAATAACCCTGTCTTCGAATTCTTGCTGTCTCCAGAATTCCTGTGTAACGCAGCTGAACCAACACTTTTTCTTTGTCAAACTTGTTTGCCTGCCGGTCATTGTTTGGCTTGATGCACCTGACAAAATGAGGCTGTCCGACAACCATTTTGGATAACAAATCCATCAGAGAATACTGCAAAAAAAATAACAAAAGATCTGCCACCAGGATATTTATAAAACTTGTATATAGGTCCATGTGTAGTTGAAATTTTATTTCATAGGATCAGAATCATGTCCATTTATATTTCATTAAGCTGGTAATTAAAGAGTAGATGAAGTAAATTACCCAACAACAATTCTAGCTTTGATAAGATCTCTAAGTTTCTACTTGAAAGAAACAATGATTCCAAATAAATGTACCACATTTCACTCAGGACATTCTCACAAACTTCTATAATGTCCATCATATGACAGAAGCTCTCCTTACGCTTATTTGCTTACCTTGGAGCTTTGTTAGGTAATTTCAGCCCATTTCTTCTTTTTCTTGTTGTCACCTATTTGAGGACCCTTCTTCACCCAGGATGTAAATCATCCATCTATGGATGGGAAGTGGAACAGCAGCAAGCCAGTAAATATTTAAATCCCTTCATCAGACTGGAGGAAATGAAGGCCACCCCAGAAGAAGGGCTGCTTGAACTGCTCTGATCTTGACACACCCCTGATCATTGTATAGACTGATGCTGATACTATAGCTGCCCTGCTAAGAGGAAACTTTTGAGGAGAGCAAAACTAGAAGTACACAAAATCACAATTTTGCATTTTTTTTGCAAATCACAAAATTGCATTTTTCCCACCTCACCAGGGTACTAGGCTAGCAGAGGAGACGCAGCTTGTAGCTCCACATGCCAACTGAGGGGAATCTGGCTGTAAACAACCTTGACTGGTGTTGTGCGAAATTGCTTCATGGGAGGATCTTATTAGAACACAAATGAATAGACTCATTCCTCAAGATTCAACCTGACTCAACAGAAAGAAGTAGCCAGGAGGTAATGCTGTTCAGCAGTAGGTTGGGTACATGAAACCAGTGTAGGACGTCAAGAGCCATATGTTTCCTATTAAAATGTGCAATTCCATTCTGGACAGAAGCTGCATCATGCAGCAAAGTGCTTAATTATCTTCATCACTAGTGTGCCAATTGAACACAAACAAGTAGGACACGCTAATGGATAATTTTTTTCCCTTGCAGTCTGAGGTGGCATATGCTTTTCTCAATCACCCATAGGTTTCTGTGTGTGAGTAAACCAGTGGGGCTGAAGCTGAATCTTCATTTAAGAGCATTAGCTAGCACGATCTGAGCAAGGATTTTTGCTACAGAAAACAGTACCAGAAAAGTGTAAATATAATTAACTCATTTGCAGCCTATGATGCTTGATGTGCTGATAATGCACTGAATCACAGACATTAGGTTTGAATGAGATTCAGTATTTTTTCCATCTAGAACTTAAGAACACCTTGCAGCTTTGGACTGCCATGATATCTAGGCTGAAATTATCCTTCATAGTCCACAAAGCTGGGCAATTGTATCTACTGAACAGAGATATGGCTCCTTACTGTTGTGTCATAGATGTAACTGAACTCTTATAAGTCACAGAATCATAGAATATGCTGAGTTGGAAGGGACCCACAAGGATCATCAAGTCCAACTCCTGGCCCTGCCCAGGACATCTCAAGAATCACACCCTGTGCCTGAGAATATTGTCCAAACCCTTCTTGAACTCTGTTAAAGGTGGTGCTGTGACCATTTCGCTGGGGAGCCTGTGCCAGTGCCCAGCCACCCTCTGGGTGAAAACCTAAACCTCTCCTGACTCAGCTTCAGGCCATTTCCTCGAGTCCTGTCACTGGTCCCAAGAGTGAAGAGATCAGTGCCTGCCCCTCCTCTTCTCTTCTTGAGGATGTTGAAGACCACAGTGAGGTCTCCCCTCAGTCTCCTGCAGGCTGAACAGACCAAGTGACCTCAGCCGCTACTCATACAGCTTCCCCTCCAGACCCTTCACCATCCTTGTGGCCTTCCTTTGGACACTAATAGCTTAAAGTCTTCTTGATATTGCGGTGCCCAAAACTGCACACAATATTCAAGGTGGGGCCACCCCAGTGCAGAGCAGAGCAGGACAATCCCCTCCCTTGCCTGGCTGACAGTGGTTTGCCTGATGCCCCCCAGAACACGGTTGGCCCTCCTTGCTGCCAGGGCACTGCTGACTCATAGTCAACTTGCCATCGACCAGAACCCTCAGGTCCCTTTCTGTGGCACGGCTCTCCAGCTTCTTGTTCCCCAGTCTATACACACAACCAAGGTTGCCCCTTTAAGGCGAAGAATCCGGCATTTGCCCTTGTTAAACTTCATATTGTTAGTGATTGCCCATCTCTCTAATTTGTTGAGGTCTCTCTGCAGGGCCTCTCTGCCCTCGAGGGGGTTGACAGCTCCTCCTAGTTTAGCATTGCTGGCAAAATTAGTATTTCGTCGAGTCCTGCATCCAATTTGTCATGAACATCGTCTCAGCCACTTTATGGTTTGCTGAGAGAGATGACTAAATAAGAGTTGGAAATTCAGAGCTGAGCCCAAGTGAACCAACTGTGAGCACCACTTTGGAGGAAAGAATGCTCTTCATAGCTACTTTCTATTGCAAGATCAGCATCAGAGCCAGTGCTTGGGAAGGTCCAGAATGCTGCTGAAGGTGCCACAAGGATTGACTCACATCAGCCTCTGAGCAGTGACCATCAAGAAGAATAAACATTTATTGTACTCTAGAAATCTATTTTAAAAGATTTGAAATCTTACTCTAAAATAAGAAGCGACTGTCTGTGTTTTCATGCTGGTTGTCTCTCTAGGATGATGTCCAGTATCTCCTGCTTCATTCTACAGAGATGAAGAAAGAAATTACACTTTTTAGCTCTAGTGAGCCTGTATTGCCCTTCCAATGCCACAAGAAAGCACCCCTCAGAGAACATAAATAATTAAAAAATTATTCTACGCAGCAAAAGTTACAGCATGATCACAGCACAAATCAATTACACCAGTACGTTACATTACTTTGCTACACAATACACAAACGTTCACACACAGAGGGCACAATTTGATAACAGAGCATCTAATAACTGCCACAAATAACCTGACAATGTCTGAGGTCCTTTTAGTTATTCCATCATCACTGTTATTTTAGTAGTTCCCTATGGAACATGGCTATACTCCACAGCGATATTTTAATTTCTCTTTTTGCTACAATACAGCTAGGAAATAATATTTTTTCCCCCTGAAGTTTTTATAAAACTATAGCCAGAAAGAAGGGAAATGTTAGGTTTTTACCTCACGGAAGGAATATGAATTGCACAACACAAAGATATCCAGCTAAACAGAAAAGAAAATAGGAGAGGGAGAAAAACCAAGGAAGGTTTTAAGGTTTTAATACCAAAACTAGTATTGCCTTTCTAGTTTAAATTAATGTTCAATGCAGAATCACAAAATCAGTTTTCTTACCTTTGTATGACTTATTGTTTTCTGAGAGGTCCACATTTGGTAACTGATTGTAGTTTTGCTTTTAGTGTGTGCCAGGTTACCTACGGGAAGATGGAAAAAAGTAAACTAGCAAAGTGTTTACATCTCATCTAAACTAAAACTGATGCTGAACCACCTTATTCATGTCTCCAGTGTGAGAGATTATATATATGATTATATATATATTATATATATGATTAGAAAGGTTGTTGAATTTTTCAGAGTATGTCCTTGTTTCCCCTTTCACTCTTGGGATGGAACAAGCTTTGAAGAAGTTGCATGAAGATGAAAAGGGATGATTTTTCTCCTTCAGTTCCTATGTCATCTACTAGATCACAAAAAAACCCCAGACTGCTGCAGAAAGTAAGAAAGATACCTCTTAGATTATCCGTGTGGTTTTACTCTAAGAATGTTATTGTATTACTGTAGTTCCAATGCTACCTATATATTAGTTAAAAAAAATAAAGTGCCAGCACCCTTATCTGGACCTGAGGGCAAGTGACATAGCAGGACTCAAACAGCTAAACTCTATACTTCACTACTCTTTTAACCTCCTGGTTCTTTTAATCCCTTTCCACAGAGCTTGCTGGAAACCATTGCTGGCCTGCACTTTCTCTTGATGTGTGCCTAGGTATTCCTGGGAGGCTAGTAACTGAGACGATCCAAACCTGTCCCACTCATCAGAATGGGCAGTCCTTTGGGAGTGTTTCAGCTACTGTTCACTAGCTCTGTTTGGTTTCACTAGCACAGACATAGTCTTAAGACTCTGACCTTGAAATACTTAATCAAGCAATACCTTCATTATGACTTTGAAGGACTAGGTGCACTGGCATGGTTTACACACACATTTGTCTTCTAAACATATAATGAAAATTCTGCTGAGCTTTCCATCATGTCTCTCTGTGTTGATAAACCCTAACCAGTGCTGCACACTGCCACTGCTTCTGCTAATAACAAAACACCTCTGGGATCTCATTCTCCACTGGGAGAGCCTATATCTCTCTGTGCTCAGCTGCTATCAGTAAAAGGTGGGTAAGAGTTGGAATAACAGCTGCAGATATATGGCATGGTGAGCTAATGCATCACATATTATTTGATGATATCAAGAGCTAAACCTCCCTTGGGTTCAGCTGAATATCACAGGGTGGGAAGGAAAAAGAGAGGATTACTCACACCTAACTAGCTATCTGAAAGTGAGGTGTCTACAGGATCCCTGCTGTATTCAGTGCATAGCAGCACATTCAGAGGAGATTTTTCCCGTCCTAAGAGAAACACTTGAGATAGCAAGATGGGCTGAACTCTAAGTAAACCTCTACAATTTCACTGCTTCTAGATGAATAACAGATCAGAAATCTAACTTTTAGTTGGCTAGAGCTGGATGGTTTCAGTCAGTTTCAGAAGGCTACACAGTGTTTTACAATATTTAACAAGAAGACCAAAACAGCCTTCAGAATTATCTTGCAAAACATTAAGACTTGGGATCAGTTCTTGGGATCACGTGGACCCTTACTTTGCTTCTACAGAAATTATTAGTATCTTAGCAAATATCAACAAGTCAAAAAGTTCAGGCAAGGACATCGAGCTCTGTGCTTTCCCAGGAACGCTCACCTAAAATAGAACTTCAAGACCAAATTTTGCATTCCATGAGCAAAGCTCCCTTTGTGAAGAATAGAAGCCTTGCCAAAACCTTAGTTTCTGTGAGCTACGATAACATTTTAGGGAAATTTCCATTAGACTCTTCCAGTTTAGCTTCTCTGATCTGCTAGAAATACATCTCCCATGTAATCGTACAAGGAAGTAAAGTTGTAAAGTACTTACTGTGTGGCATCAATGCCATTACACAGGGAGTCCTACAATACAATAACAAACTGGTTGTAAGGAGACTTACCCATCACCCTAAAATGGCAGGTAGGACACTGTGCAAGGACACAGTTCAACTAAGATGCAGCTTAGGAGTAATTTCTGTAGAGCCAATCTTATTTCTCCACCTCAACTGATGAACTCCTCAAGAAAGGGCTTACTACTTGGACCCCATCAGTCACCTACTCTAAAGGACTAAAAGACTGAATAAATTGAGAAGTGTCTCCTCACTCTTTGCAGCAGATGTTAAGAGCCCCAACCTTCATTCTCTAGTACTTTAGAGATAAATTGCACTGAGACAAAACAGGCAATTTATATATGGCATGCCCAAAAAAAGGCCAGTAACTTACCTGATCTTTTCTGTTCGGTCCTCAACTCAAGAGATGCACTCCACTCCCTGTATTGCTCCCCTACCCTGAAGAGAGGACCCTGAAAGAAGTCTCTACCACTTCCTTGGCACTTGACCAGACCAATCCCTCCCCTGCACCTTGGGATGGATGGGGCTCCATTCTGTATAGATTCTAGGGTTGGAAAGTTAAGCCACAAAGCCTGTAATGTCATCAGTGAGTAGTCATGTGAAACCTAGCAGTGTTCATCATGAAGGCTAGAGAAGACTAAGAAGATTACCACACCAGCAATACCTGTTTTTGTAAGAGGATGGGTTACCAGCTGTCGCGTCAGGTTGTTTTCAGATGATCGCAGTAGCAGTACAATATCAGCTGGCAGAGTATCTCTGTTTTTGGCTAGGAATCCACTTGCATTATATAGAACCTGTTTAAAAAGTGCATTTACGCATCTTCTTGGTTTTTGAAAAGCAATTGTAAATTTAAGCATTCTGGCATATGGCTTTTAATATATGAAGATACACAAATAGTTTTTCAGCTATCAGGCTCACTCTTGCTTGCAGTCTTTCTTTTGATCACTGAAAGTTCTAACTTTTCAATACTGAGATATGACGCAGATCACTAAAAGCAAATCCATCATTCCAAAGTAGCTTGAGACATTTATTTTTCCTAATGCAGATATGTTAACAGTAGTCTTAGGCAGCGTGGATTTATCAGTAGGACAAGTATATTGTAGTCTTCCTTTACACCAGTACATGTGTAAATGCACAATTAACAATGCACTCGATATCAATCATATCACACAGGATTACCCACATTACTGTACAATCTTTCTGTGCTATTCATATTGTGCTGTACTGGACTCAGGACTTACCACTATTCTTAGGGATCTCTGAATTAATTGTAGAGGAAGTTTGCAAAATCAAAAACTGCATATTGGCAATTGAAATCTCTCTAAAAATTCCAGTAGTGGTGTACGTAACTCAAAATGTAACTCCAGGACTCTATCTCAATGATGCTGTAAAGGATTCACAAGAAAACCTGACCTGTCACGAAGAGTAGAAGATACTGGCATGCTTAATTTAGGAAAACCCCTCACAAAACAACTCAGTAAGAATCTTAAATTAGGAAAAAGGCTTGTAAAGGAAGAGGAAATAAATAGTTTTCCAGTTCCACAGCAAACAGGACTAGGAGTAAAGAACTTACATTACAGCAATGGAGACGTAAGTTAGGAGAAACGTCCTAATGAAAAAGCTTGTTGAACACTGGAAAGGGCTGATGGGGCACCGGTGTAATCCCCATCTTCAGTGGCTGGTAAACAGGAATGGTACAGGGAGACCTGACTTTCCACTCTTCAGCAGTGAGATATGCTATGCTGGTGAAATGCAATTCAGCTGGAGATGAGGTTCAGAGGAGTTACTGCAGGCTCTTTATAGCTGACTGTCTTACATAAGGCTTAAGTTATCTTCCATCAGCTGATGTGCAGTATTTGCCTCTTCCCAGGCCAGCTGCTCCAGCACTGCACAGATCCAACATGGTTTCCTATGTGAGGCACCAGTGCTCACTCTGTACCCTTTAAAAGAGCTCGAAAGGAGGTAGGAGCTCCTGCTTTCACAAGGCAAGGTTCATTTGACCAGCACCATCTTGCAGCAGTGTGACAGCAACTCCTCCTGAGTTTGAAAGGCACGTGCAGGAAGTCACCTTGTACAGGAAGGCAAGACACTGCTCATCAAATGAAGCAGAAAGCAGGGCCTGCACTACCTATCTGGGTGATGACAAAGTACAGAACTAAGGCTGATGGGGTGTAGGAGGAAGTAGAAAGAAAGGAGTGGGATTCTGATTAGAACAAGCATGGTACAGGCCTTTCAGGAACTAAGAGGAAGAGCGCCAAGTTGCATTACATAACAGTTGTGTTTTGGATCTTCTATACTACAGCCAGTTTATTTACCTGTTGACATTTAAGAAAAATACACTCCTGCTATTGCTTTTTTTTTAATGAGGGATAATAACTTTTCAATTTGCTTTTGATATGTAAGGCACCACCAACATTCCCATGTCAAGCCTGAATAGATGACAGCTGACCTCTTCTATTTCCTTCCAGCCCTACCATTCAACAATCCCCCACTAATACCATCAGGTCTCTTACCTTTCCTGCATAATGATAAATTCCAAAGGTTAGATCTACTCTTTTGGGTCTCCAAAAATATTTTGACTTCAAATTATCTTCAAATTTTTCTGAAAGGAAACACATAACTCATCTTACTGGAGTTACTGCACAATAATTTTCTTCTGAAGCTGTATCCCCCTAAGGATATTGCCTGACTTCTCTAGCAATGCAGAAGCACAAAACAGACACTGATGTTTTCAAGGACATAATGGTCTTGTAACAAAAGGCACTGGATAGAGAATATGGAAGCTCTCGGACAAGTTACTTACTTTGTACCATTTTTTTTCTGTGTGACCTCAGAAAATCATAGAATCATTAAGGTGGGAAAAGACCTCTAAGATCGAGTCCAACCATTAACCCAACACCACTGTGTTCATCACTGAACCATGTCCCCAGGTGACACATCCACGCGTTTTTTGAACACTTCTAGGGCTTGCCTTTCCAAGGTTTAGATCTTCATATATGAAACAATCCTTCCTAAGGATTCCTTGAGGAATTGTGAGAAAACACTTACTGATTGATTGAGGGCCTCTGTACTCTAGACTAAAAAGTATGAAGATTGAAAGACAACAAGCTCATGTAATTCCTTTAACATGGGCATTGTTACTGGATGTTATTAGGTTTTGTGACTAGGTGGTGGGTAAAACTCTAATAGGACATTTTGCACATTCAAAAATGAGCAAAACAAGGATTTATCTGCACAGAAATATGACTAAACTAAATCAATGGGAAATGCAACTACTCAGCAGCACTAAAATACTCAAGATCTGAATTACAACACATTTAGGTGTTTTAATTTTAATTTCCAAATAGAAGAAAAATCAGGAAGCATAATTGGCTGAAATGCACTGAATCATGTTTGCAGCCATTACTCTTAAAAAAGTATTAAACTTCTTGTTCAGATATGGCTTATCAAAGATCTCAGAGCTGAACATGACTCAGTTTGCAAAGTGTTCTTGGCATATGAATCTAGAGTTTTAACTCAGTCTGATCTTTACCTTTCAAATCCCGCAGCTAAAAATTCCTGAAGGCTGGAGAATTTGAAACCTGGATCAGCAAAATCAGGTTCATTTGTAATCTTGATGTTTCTCTATGAACTTCAAGGACACAACCATCCCTACATGCATGTCTCCCTCAAACATACTGTGACACTGGAATGAGGGCTCACTAAAAACATAACTAGCATGTAGCCTGAATTGTGCATGTCAAACAGAAATCTAACAGAAGACATGCTGCAAGACTGTAAAATAAACCATATACTTACCTACAAGTGTCTGATCTGTTGCTTGTGGGAATCGACTTTCCTCATCCAACAGAGACAATAAACCCATTGGTTTTTGCAGGAACATATCTAAGAGGGGTCTGTTGTCCTCATATTCTATAACTCTTGCATCAACACCTTCATAAAGGTATTCATTCTGTAGCAAGCAACAGAAGGCATGTTTTGGCTGTGTATACAGAACCACTTCAGGACATAATTCACAAACTGTTAATTGTAGCAAATTAAAACTACATTGAAAAAGTATGCCTCGGGACTAAAGACATCAAGGTTTTGCAGAAACAAATGTCAGTTGGGATATTTGTTTCTGAATACCTATGTTCAATATTCCTGTGACATATTTGGTAAAGAAAGATACTTTTCAGGAATAGCAAGAATTAAAGAAATAGAGTTGAAGAAGATAAAGTATAGTGTTTGCAGATGGAGACCTCAGGGCCTAGTTACTTCCCTGGTTTGCAATGTAGAAAATTTAGCCATTTAGAGCTAGATTTACATTCCCAATTCATTGCTCACATCTATGTGATGTACAGTGGCCAAGATTTACAAAAGTGACCACAGATTACAACAGCCTTACTTGTTCGATCACGCTCCTCAAAATGGAAAAAAGAGAAGAAAGGTGCACATACTTTCTAATAATTAAAGAATTGTATACATACTTTCTAAAAATTAAATAAATTGGCTCAGATTTGCCTCTACCTCATTTTCACTCCTTTTAAGGAACTAGGGAAAGGTAATCCCCAAGTTTTAAAAACAACAGAAAAGCTGGCGGGGTGGGGTTTTTTTGTTTGGTTGGTTGGTTTGGTCTGGTTGGTTTTCTCCTGAAGACTGCAAATATCTTTGGATTCCCACCAGACTGAAAAAAAAAAGGATAACAAATGTTGTGTCCACAGCATGTTGTGATGGTTTTATCTTGAATATAATTTAGATTATAGCTGAAGAATACAAGAATGACCTTCCTTAATCCTTTAGCAAGGCAGAGGAGAGGCATAGATTTACCAAGAGAAGGATGCCCTAGGGACTGCCATGCCTCCCTATTTTTGCCTGCATTACATATAAAAAATAGCAGTTATCCACTGCTAAGCCTTTTGATCTACTGTAAAAATCATCCCTCTGCCAAAGGATAGGACTTCATAAAAGTGTTGTGTTCATGTATGGTGTTAACATTACAGGTTTGAATTCATTGTGAGGAGAGTGTCATAAACATGAATGATGGTTAATATTAATGAGTTCAAAGACCTCTAACCCTGAAAGACCTCTCCTTATGTGTCATTCACTTGAGTCTGAATGAGTGAAGAAGGCAATACATTGAGTATTTGAAAAAGAAGTTAACTGCCATATACAACAGAAAAGCACGTTATTATATTTCATACCTCTAAATTTCTAAGCCAGAGAGAAACAGTAAAAGGGATAAAATCAATAACACTCTCCTGGACATACAGGCACAAATAAACAAATCTGCTGATCCATTTGAAAGACAACATGAAATATATACCTAAACTCTTCCAGTATCTAGATTGATCTAATTTCCCAGGACACTCTTCACTCTAAGGATAGGTTATGGCTCAGTTTTTATGCTGTACAAGGGTGTTATCAGTAAGAATCTCTCCTACAGCCCCATGAGGGCTCCTCATCTGAGACACATAACATTAACTTCATTCATGTCTGCCCTGAAGCAGTGGACAGGTAGAGTTTTGCTTTTTATTTTAATCAATGACCTGAGTAGCGAGACACGACAGGAGAGTAATAAATGTATCACTGACATAGGCAAAAAGTTAATTATATACCTAGTGGCAGAAAGGGAATGAGTCTCTGTTATCTCCCAAAGATAACACTGGAGTAGGGGCAGCTTAACCAAAGGTTACAGCTGTACTGACACACAGATGTTACATTCATGGAGCCAACTGTTACTGCTTGGGATTATCAAGAGTACACTTATCAGTGGGGCAAGGGAAAGAGATTGCTCAGGATGAATGTATTAGAAGAGAAGAGAGTTTCTGTGACACTCGGATATCGGGATATCGTCCAACAAGCTCTCACAACCAACTTATCTAATGATTAACTTTTTCCAACTTCAAATGCTTGTGAGAGAGGCTGGTTTAGAGAGCTGATAAAAGTGTTCTCCTTGAAAAAGAAAGAAGCTCTGTAGTAGCTGTACTACTATGCTGTAACAGCAACATCTGCTCCCATCACTGTCTGACCAGCATGCAGGGCCTGACCTCCAAGCCTGCTGCATATGTGACCATTCAGTCTTTTGTGTCTGCACCTCGACAACTGAATGAGTGTCAGCCAGTGCTGACAGTTTTGGCAATGCTGCCATCTGCCCAGTAGGATATGGAAAGAGTTCACTCCATCATTTTCCATGGGCTCCTGGAGGATGGCTGATAACCCAGTCTCCCAGGCACTAATGTGACAGATGACTCAGAAACGATACTATATTACCTTTTTTTATGCAATGCTGGTTTCAACCATGTTATTAGGATACAAGCAGCAAGTATAAAAGCCTTAATGATGCACATCATAAAATTGTAATGAAATAGATCTTATTTGAATTAATAAGATGAATCAGTTACAGGATTTTATAATACCCCATGATGTTTTGTGACAAGAAAGCTCTGTAAAATGGCTGCTTATTGAAATTCTAAAGCATAATCCATTTGAAAGTATGCCTGTGGATGGGAGGTCAAATGGAATAACAGTTACACTATTAATTGGGCTCCTATCTCACCTCAGTATTGCATGGTATTTTTTCTGTAATCAAAACTAGTTAACATCAGCTTGTGCAATCTGATTTCACTTAATAACAATGAATTATTAAATGCATTAGGAAATGGTCTTAATGTTTAATAATATAATGGCATTTTGCTGAGAACATGTTATGATGACACTTTGGTTTAAATGGGAACACCAGAGACTTATTCAGAATGAACTGTTTCCAGCTTAAAGCAGAAGATTAAATTGTCATAAGAACATAAACACTGCATACATTTAATGCAAAAAGTATCATCTTTCCAACTGACAGCAAACTTGCCATTTTCCAAAATGTTTTAGCTATCTGCTATTACACCTTTTACTTTTTATGGGGGAATCACAAATGAGAAAGAAATGGGAAGGTTGTCTTGCTGGACAATGTGACCTGCAGATCATGGAGCTGACAGAAATTTACTTACATTAGTACCTAACATGTAAAGGAAACACCTTGAAGAATGGCACTGAAGGTCCAGAAGTTCTACTTTACTTAATATTAAATAAAAAAAAACTTGTGCCAGCAAGATTGCGTTCAGGTCTAAAAGCCTTTATTCTTAAATGCAAACATTAAGTCAACAATAAATAATAAATTCCCTTAATTTTGACTTCACAAACACTCTGCACTAGCAGACACCCTGAGTCTCAGGTTGGGATAGTACCATTGTTCCTTCCTACTATTCCTGTCACTACTGAGGCCATATTTTCTCAGGCCACACTTCCATGGAAAGCAAAACTGTGAACACTTTCAGATTCAGATACAGAAAAGAAACCACTAACAACTGTAAAACCATATTACCTGCAAAATTGAAAGTAAAGTTCAACCCTATGAGTTCATTTACCCTATGGCTTCATTGCTCAAGTTGCCCAAACTTTTTCACCTTCTCCAGTGACATAATCACTACTTATTAGATCGACATGGGTTAACTATGAACTAAACTATATTTAACTGATTTAGGCCTCGACTTCCCACTAGATATGTCAGATTTCCTCTAATTGTGTGTGATAAGGAATTGAAAAGGGCAAAGCAGGGAAAAGAAGGAAGAAATAATATACCTATACATTTTACTTCTCTTGAGGGAAGCGTGAAATAATTTAAATTTTTCAGTCTTCCTTGAGTGGATCTACAGGGTGCAGTGCGGTGTCATGTTACAGATTTCTGAGGCAGCACAGAACAATCTGACATGTCTGTCTGTGAAGAGATACTATCCTGGGTCCCCAGTGACAGGATTGCTCCATCAGTACAACCATCAGCTTGGGCTAATGAAAAGTCAACACAAAGGTCTTGGTGACTGCTGGCATCAGCCTTCCCGTAAACTTAACTAGTGTCTTTTAGTGATGGAGACACAAACCCTTGCATGCAAAGTCATTTGTAAAGTCAGGCAGATACATCAGCAAAGGGCAGGGGTCATCCTAATGTTTGGCTTTTACATAAGTGATATCTTGTATCATTAAGAACAACAAATTCAGTCATATGATTTTGAAAATATTTCCTTTTTTTCCATGTATAGAACATGTAGCAATTATATTTTCTTTCAAATTGCTTTATCTTATTTGTCTGCAGGGAGGGGAGGGCTTGTATTTACAATTAAAGTATATTACTGGTGTTAACACAGGAGAGTCCTTACAGTGTACATAAAAGATTCTGAAGCCACCTGCTTTCTTGAAGTCTGTTTTTGTGATGTAAAACTGGAAAAACCATGTCATAAGTAAGTGAAAACTGATGCCTTATAATGACTGTGAATCATACTGCAAATCAATCTGTGCCATTGGGTTGTAACATAAAATAATTTCTCATTTTCCTGTCTCTGAAAGGGGGAGATTTACACCCACACTTGCACAAACTTAATCTATATAGCTCATTCTGCACTGATATACTAGTATCTTTGGAGACTGCTACAAGATAATGTAATGAAGTTTGATATAATCTGTAGTGGTGTGATATAAATTAAAGTAGACAAGCACTTGGTTGGCATTAGAGGTAGGATGTGGACGCTTGTAATAGAAATATTAGAACTGGTAAAAATGAAATATGAATAGAAATGTGTGTATAAGCACCAGAAAAAAGAGTCTTAGAAGAATAACCTGTGATTTGAATGCAGAACGTTTGTTCATAGCAATAAAACTGAGGAAAGCGTTGCTTACATCAAGAACAGAAGGCCTTCACTTACTTACATAAAAACACACTGCAGACAGGTAGCTAGTGGAACATCCTTTAAATCTGACAACAGGAGGATAACTGCAAGGTTATAGCATGTCATACACCATTCTTCTACTAGCCCACCAAGGAAATGGACTGTAGGCATAAACATGTATATACTTCAAACAAGCAAAGTTAGATAATGACCTTGCCTGAAGATTATGGAGGCTGAAGTAAATAAGGTTCTGAGGCAAAGAACTGCCCTGTAACAACTGACAATTGCTAAAGGCTGTAAAAGATCTGTCCACAATCTATTGCAGCAAGAAGAACCTAAGAGACATGATGAAGACTTGCCAGCTGGTGTCCCTTATTCAATGAGTCACTCACAAATTATCCTTGGCACACCACTTGAACACATTGTGGTGCATTCTATGTGGCCATGAGTCAATGACATCTATGAGAGAATGACTGGAAACGGGTAAAGTTGAAGTACTTAGAGATTCTGTAAGTAAAGATCACCTTCCCTTTCCATAGGGTCAGTAACTGTTGTAATCATTTCCTACAGAAAGAAATGGGTAAACTAGATATTGTCAAAATAAAAAGTTAATTTTTTTTCTTCATCTCATCATCCCGTGCTCAGTAGCAAAATAACCACCTTGACTTTACTGCAGCAGGGTACGCGCAAGAAGGCAAACTGTTACTACTAGATGGTGACACCACAAACCTCTGCATTAATATAGGTCTGGCCAAAATGTTCTGCACCAGAATACTTAAAAACAAGTAAAGGCAGATTACACTGAACAAGACTTGACTCTAATTAAAAAGGAGAAGGAATATTAAGACAATATTTGGTGTACAGGGATAGGGATAGGAAAGCCAAGGCAGGTCCATCAGCAGCAAAAGGCAGCTAGGGAGAATGTGGTCCTGCTGCTGAACAAGCGTGGATGATATGGAAAAAGCTGAGATATTCGATGCCTTCTTTGCATCAGTCTTGACTGATAATCCCAGATCCCTGAGACCAGAGGGAAAGTCTGGAACAAGGAAGACTTGACCTCAGTGCGTGAGGATCGAGTTAGGGAACATTTGAGCCAAGTGGACATATGCAAGTCCAAGAGACCTGGTCAGTGCTTGAATTTACAGGAATAAATAATGGTGTTCCAGTCTGTGCTATTTCCATCTTCCAACTGTTAGAAACAGCAGTAGCCAAGTGACCTTCTTGTGTGAATTTGTGCACTTGGGAAAGAAGGCACCTAAGTAATTACAGTAGTTCAGGTTAAATTTTCTCTGAATTTTAGATGGTATTAAAAACAAGAAAATACTTGTGTCTGAGAATCTCGCACAAAAATCTATAAAAACAACTACAAGGTCTAAGACTGCCAGACAGTATTTCCTGAAATAATTGGAAAGAGGATAAAGCATTGATCCATATAAAAAACCCCTTCCATTTTACACATAGATACGTATGTCAGCTGTAGACTGACACGAGTGTACACACTTGCATACAGAGACACATTCCAAACTCATATCTGTTTTATCCTTAAAGCAATCAGTGATTAAAACTGACAAAATACTCTGTTTCTACTAATAATTAAAATTAGTTTTCAGAAGGATTTTAATTTGTGTATCATAAACCCCAATAACTTCAATAAAACAGCAAAAGTATTATTTTACCTACAATTTGAATTTTGACTCTTGTGCCACATAGAATTCTGGAATATTTCTATTTTCACCTAGTTTAATATTTTTTCTTAGTGTTATTTCTTCAAATAACAATAGTGGATAATGATTTAAAAATGGCTAATTTAATTATCACGTAATTATTTACAAAGCTGAGATGATATTTTTAAAGGTTTTTCACTTTCCTCTTCAGTTTCATAAGCTCTTATATTTACAACGCTATTCCTTTTCTCTGTTTTAAATTTTTTCGATTAAATACATCACTATTTACTTGAAATGATCTAGTTTCTGAATAAGAACAAAATAATAGTGAGATTTGCAGTTTTTAATAATGGAATTTCAGTGTTCATTAAGCCAATTAGTAAGCTATTATGAACACTGCACTTTCAAAATTTTGTTACCACTCATTTATTTTTTTACTATAGAATCTTACATTACAACTCATTATTTCTCAAGAAAACAACATTGCATTTGCATCAAACAGATTATCACTGTGTTATGTTGCTTAGATACTGTAAATTTCAAGTTTAATGCGTTTTATGTAGGCATTTTACTTGCAAATAGCAAGCACTGCTTCACAGAATACATACTCAAAAAATATTTGCTATAATCTGCAATTTACAACCTATTATGGAGAAGGAACAATGTAGTTTCTTGAGACAAGGTTTTATATGTTCAACAATATTAAAGTTTTATCAAAATAATCCACACATACCTGTTCCCAGGCAAAGACATGTTGATTGAAGTAGAACTGAATTTGTTCATTGGCGATGTTGATGCAGAGTTGTTCAAAAGAATTTTTTTTGAAATTCTCAAAACCGAAGATATCAAGAATTCCAATGTTCAAACCATCATCATTTTCACTGCAACGATGAAATAAACTTTCCATTGTTGTATCTTTATTTTACACTGACTAGCTTAATTATTATTTCACAAAGGAAAATCATGGGCCAAATCCGTACACCAGTTACACAGGATAATTTTTGCTAAACCAGATACCTCTTAAAATGACAATAATTTTTTTGTTTGAAATACAATAAGTGCAGATCAATTCAAAGATTACTGTATTTGCAGACTAGATATACTGAATCACATAATGACCAACTCAATTGGTAAGCGAATAGGACAGTTCCAATTTTATTGTTAAACTAATATTTGCTAGTGATCATTCTACTGTAAACAGCTGTTTACAGTTTACAGTTTACTGTTTACAGTACAGAAAGAACATGCAGTTCTTTTTGTTTCTCTGGTAATAACACAGGCTTTACTCAACAGCATTAAATTAAAGACTGCTGTCATGAAATAATATTTCTTCAAATTATTTACTCACAACAATTAACATTGCTTATTTTAACATCAAAGTCAAAAGAACGAATAGCTAGACTTTTTATGCATCTAAATAACTAGTTTAAGTACTGAAATGTGGTATGAATTTAAACTACCAATTAAATTCCAGAGAAGTACTACTAGTAAAAACTTTGGTTTGATATTTTAGCTAAGGCATACTGAAGATAACCATGATCATTTCTGCAACTTGAAAAAAGCTCTAATGTGTATTTGCTGAAGCAAAAAATTAAGAGGATATAAGTTTATAACAAACTGAAGCTGATATTACTGTCTTCTCTGAGGAAAGTAAAAAATAAAGCACATTCTATCTATAAAATCCCTTTGAGGGTCTATCTGTAACCAAATTTTTTTAATAAAGATTTATGAAATCAGAAATTAAGAATCAGCCTCAATACACTCCTTCATACACTCATGAATAGCACTTGAACCTCTTTGTGAAGTCCATCTCAAAAGAGAAGCATTTCATTGTGGAGGGATCAAATATATTTGTTGGTTTTTACCTGAATTCGGTGACTATATTCTCTATCTCAAAATTACACTTTTTGTGCATACACTGCTAAAATTTGTCTGCCTCATTTGTTCTCAGAGATAATTATATAAAAATAGCAAATGCAAATTATTTTACTACCACAAAATGAAAGCAAAGTTCTGGTTGGTTCTTTTTGTATAGTGAACATTTCAGGTCAAAATTTACTTCCTCTTCACTGGCATAATAAGTATTCAATTTGAAAAGGGCTCTGTAATAGACAAGTGAGAGAGGCATACAGGCTGGCAGTGCTGCCCTATCTATCATGAATTTTATCCTTTCACTTACTGACTAAAGTTCTGTTTATTGTTGCTCTTCTGCAACCAAATACTTAAAAGTTTAGACAAATTTTAGGATTGCAACCTTGATTCTCCTCTGAGGTTTAAAAAAAAAAAAATCCAGAAAATCCAGATTTGCAAAACAAAGCTATTTGTTATTGCTGTCCATCTTAAGGTAGTTATAAGTTTGCCCCTTTTCCACCATAGAGAGCCCTGACATATAGGATCTACGATGCAAACCACATAATTTCTTCTTTGATTAATTTGCAAAATGCAAATCCTCATTCCCAATATCTTTCCTGTCTCTGTGTTTAAAATGTCACTTTATAAGTGTAGAGTGGACATTAACTTCAATAAATGTGAAAGCTATTCTCACACCTATGAAACCACGCTCATAACCACAGTGACAAAAGCAACAGCATCAGTGTAAGTAAGAGCAGAATTTGACCTATATAATCAACAAACGAATGTCAAAAGTTGATCCTGAAAAATACAAAAGAAAAAGTGGCTAGTATGTAATTTACAAACAGTTGAATGTGTAAAGGTCAAAGAGTAAAACACCAGATGCCTGCGCTCTCCATAGCTACTGTATTTTCGTTATATACTAGGAACAGGACAAAACATTTTTTGAGGTGGTGGTGTCATAAACAAGAAGGTAGCAGAGAAAAAGAACATGAGTACACTAAATGCCCTAGTGTAGACAATATTATTCCCACTGAAAAAAAATTTCTCTTTATTTTGGAAAAACTTCTTTTACCTTAAATGTTTGTCAGGTTTGAGTAAAGTGTTGATGCGATTGACTATCCAGCTAAAGAGGCGTCCGTACAGTGCTTTGGCCATGGCATCTCTGACATCAGTGGCCTTTTCCACAGTGTTGGGACGAATAATTGTCTCTCCTCGAGTCACAACACAGTGAGAGGTGAGGGCCTCTTGCAGTTCATCTGCCTGAATACACAGCAAGGACGCGCCTAGGAAGGAAGGTCACCAGCGCAGCTCAGAGGCAGATTTTGGAAGGTGAAATAGGCATTTTTGCAACCAAAGCTTCAAGTGCAATGTATTATGAATAGGGGCCAAATCAAAGTCTTGACCTATGACTAATGAGGAATTTCACACCAAACAACTGTCAGTATCTAATTTAGTAACCAACCTTCCTAGCTTCTACTGCAGTCAATGAAGAAATGCTAGGGAATCTAGGTGACTCTGTCACAAGTATTGAAATTGTGAGGTGTGAATACCCCTCTCAGTTATAATCCACTCATACAAGCCACTGCTGTCCTCCTTTTGCTCCAAATAAGGGGTGCTTCTTTCCCAGTTCCACAATATTTTTCTATTTATGGCAGGAAAATGTAAGAAGATAGCATGAATACTTCATTATCTCCCCAACTGTAATTACTGAGAAAGTGTAGCAAATTTCTTGAGAATCTTTGTCACTTTGCCTCCTCACCTCCCAGCAGCCCATAATGTAAGGTATATCTTCCAAAGAATTAGTGAGCTGTATTTCAACAGGCACATGTGGGGAACAAGTAATGAGCAGCTGAGAAAGAAACTGGAAAAAAGCCATTCAATGTGTTAATGAGGTTCTCCATCAAATGTTCAAATAACCTTGGAAAAATTCCAAAGATTTTCTTTTCAAGCATCTGCAGTATTAGTCATGTTTCCTGTATACTAGTGAACTGGTTAGTCAAATAAGATTCATAACATGGAAATCTTTTTCTTTTTTTTTTTTTGCATTTGAATTTAGGTGGCCTTAGAATTAATTGACCTTCAGTTTTTAATTATTTATGCAAAATTTCCACGTGAATACAGGTTCATTGATAACTCTCTTGCAATAAAATAAATTCCCTAACAAAACAGTAAGAAAAACAATCTTAAATTAAGAAAAAAATCACTCACAATTCTCAAGGGCTACTGGGTTGGAAATGTTGCTTTTGTCAATCATATGTTCAGATACTACTGCTGAAAATTCAATGTTGCCCACATTTAAAATGGCAGCCAGGACACTGTACACACTTCCAAGTTCCTGAAAAATATATTTAAAAAGATACAATACTTAATAGCCAGGTAGATTTGTCTCTGTGGTTTATGCGATGGGCATGTCTGTGTGTGCTGTTTCTTGTTGTCTGCCACATGTCCACTACTTTTAGGAATACTTTTCTCAGCAATTATTCCTGTTCTGTACTCAGCAAAGTCTTTCAAGAGTAAGACAGCCAAAGAGGGCAAGACAAACTATAGCCTAATCTCTTTTCCATACTTGTTGACAGGACAGGATTGACATGGAGTAGGGACAGCACAAAACACTGTGTACATATCCTCTTACACAGAAAGAATTCAGAGGTTATTTATATCTATCCTTCACTGTGTCTGCAGGCACAACGGTGTCTAAAAACTTAATACCTAGATCAACAAAGGTACAAAAAATATCTGCGTCTATGTTTCTTGGATCATGGAAACAAAGGTACTCCAAATAATAGGCCTGTATCGTCCCCACCAATGTCATCAGAAGAAGTTTCACTGAGAGAAGAGTGAGATCTCACATCTCTGATTCAATAAAGCACTACACCCTTCAAAACGTCAGTTACAAACTCACCAAAGCACCTTAATATGGACTTTACTTACACATATCTAAATTTTAAATTATTCAGTAGGTTCTGAAGAGGGACTCTGCCTTGAAAATGGCTGTTATTACTCTGGACAGTGAAGTTATATGTACAGTAAATTATTTTAAGAACTTACATATAACAAAATTATATTTAGAATTAGAAAAATATTGCTTTCATTGCAGGTTTGACTTAGATTTGAACTGCAAATTTTCATCTGAACTGTGAATGTTTATCAGTATACCTGATGATCTGAGCATTTTTTATTCAGAAATGCTGAGGTGTTCCTGCAAAGCAGACTAGGAATATTTGACACTGTATATTTTGAGGGATACAGTAAAAGCATGTTTTATAAATAGCAGGTTGGAAACTTTTATAGTAGTTTTATAAGAAGCAGTTTTGCAAATGTGATTGCTATTTTATAACAATGACCTTTTCACAATTGTACAACATTTTATCTATAATATTCAGTGGTTTGCTGGTACCATGACAGGCATCATTTAGTCAGATAAAATCCTTAATTGCTTTAGAATACTTGATCTTGTTTTTAACACTTTCAGAAGTTAATCTAGCAGTTAATAAATTAATGATTCCAGTGACAGCAAGACAAACTAGATAAGCTCGCTCTAAAAAATTACACTGAGGATAATTGGCACACAGTTTACCTAGGATTAAGCAATCATTTTCATTTTAAGCTTAGGGACACAGTTAAAATGCAAAGAAATTAATAGCTTAACTTCTGCCATTATGTTGTACAGTATGTATAGCTGCTGACATTTTTCTGCCCTTTTGCAGCGTGTTTGAAATCTGTCTTGATCTGTCTCATACAGCGTGATTATTGTTCCCCTAGGCAGTCCTTTTTCCTATTAATTTTGCTATGCAGCCTGAAATAAAACAGTTTGATTTTAAGACAGGGAGTACTGACAGTAGTTACTATTAAAGCCTGCCAATAAGTTAAAACCAAATTTCAAAGAAAAAGAAGTCTTGTTTAGGTCTCAGTTTTAACTGGAATGGAGAATTTTTTCTGTTCATGGCTTTCTGCTAATAAAACATTGAACATTCTTATATGAAAGTTCTCTGTGCACTGGGATGAATGCCCTTAGGAAAGGAATTCATTGTCTTGTAGGATCTTTTTCTCACTGAAACAAATTTGTCTTTGCACATGTGTCTGATATCAGAACCTCAGTGGGGGAAGAAGACTGTTCCTTCACTCTTGTAAACACAGCTTCAGATAGGCTAATTCACCCTGTGGAGGATGTGAGACAGGCTAACATGGATGGGGCTCACATAGCCACAAGCAGGTTGCCTCCAGCACTCAACCTGCTTCTGAAACTGCGGGGATTCTACTGGTAAATAATTCCTTTACAGCTTCAGCTCATGGTGGTTTGCTGAGTTAATCAAGTGAAGATCCATCCTAGAACTGCACAATGCAGTCAGTGACATACTTCTAACTGGATCTTCGATATGTATGGAAGATCTCTTTTGAATGATCAGGATTATTGTTTCCATCCATCCAAGTGAACAAAAGAACCAGTAACAAAAACAGACTTGCTGCTTTTCATGGTTTAAATTAGGACTTATCAAGGTCTCTGGTGCTGTGATAAAACTGCTATTGGTGCTGAACCATGCATGTCCTTTTAGGCTGCTTCTGGAAAGGTGAAAGCATAGGTGAAAGGATGTGATAGTACAGGTGTGATATGACTAAGTGCAGTTGTGAATAACATGTAGAGGAGAAAGAGACTGTGAATGCCACCGCTACTGTGACTTAATGCGAAATGATTATGGAGGAATAGAATAGGTGAATAAATCTGTTTTGTTATCTATTTCTAATATTTACATTGAGGAAAGCCAGAAATAGTCCTCTGCAGTAATTTTCTGTGAAAAGATCCTTACCGCATGCAGCTTTGTCAGATAAATTAAAACATACATCCATTCTGCAGCACTAGTGCTGTATGTCACAGATACTATATTGATCATCCCCCTACTATTGTTTATGATAAACTAAGTCAGCAGTAAATGACAAATGTGATGCACCACTTCTCCTAAGATAGAATTAAGGCACAGGATGGGATTTCCTTCTCTTGCATGCTAATTTATAAATTCAGAGTCCTTTTTTATTTTATTCTACCAAAGACAGACTGAGAAGAGGGGTTTAATGGCCAGCAAAACAATGATACAACATCGTAAAAAAAAAATGGGTTCAGTTAATGTTTAGTGATGAGATTCACTCCAAAGGGATGTAAGAGCTCCATTCAACTTTATTTCTGAAGCTGTGAAAATGTACTGAGTTCATCAATACTCACATCAGTGCAATGAATTTTTAGAACTCCCACCACGGACTTCCTCTTAGAACAGAGATGAGTCTCACATTCACAGGCCTAGAATTATTGGCTGATAAACAGTTATAACATCATTTTCTATGCATTTAATTTGCAAAAATCTTTTTTTCCCCAATTACTCGGCTGTGCTGTGTTCACTGATTTCAAAGTCTTGTTGACTAATACCATTTTATTGGTTTATCAATGCCTCAAAACCTTAAAAAATTAAATTTTATAATAAAAAAGTAAGATAACTGTGCAACATCCTAAAGCATAAACACAGTACTGCTTAAGGAAGAAAATAACAAGGGAGATTATTTGAATGCTTTATGTAAGTTTTTCCTGATTAAGGTAGCTGGTAAAGTTCACAAAAGAAAAGGGTTAGCAGCACTCACCTCCAGTGTAAAACCTATGACTTTGAAGCACTGTTCAATTAATTCAAACTGAGACTTATAAAAGCTATTGTTCATGAAATCTTGCACTATTCTGAAATGATCATTTTGCAGATATCTGAAAGAGTTGATGGATACAGAGTTAGAATACAAATGAGGCTGAGAATTCAACACTGCACTTCTTAGTAATCAATTTATGTAAAAATAAACTGCATTACCTGGGAGGTCTATATTCTGGCAGTTTATAATGTGCCAGTTTTTTCTTTTCCGCGAGACCAGCATAAATATAATAAAAAATATGGAAATTTTTCTCTCCTCTGAAACAACAGAAACAACAAACTGGTTTAGTAATATAAGGATGCTACATTTACTGATGACATACATACAATTATTAAATGTTATTTTAATAACAGGTAAGACTCATGCAAACTGACAAAAGAGTCTGAAAGAAGCTATTACAGAAGTTCCTGTGAGCACCCTTTCTGTACCATTGTGTGTTTGTCCTGACTGCCAGGGTGGCTGCTTGGTGCTACAAGCAGCTAAATGCTGCTCTACCTTTGATGCAATTGGTAGATGCTATGTAAGATCTTGCAGATTTCCCACCCACCTGCATTAAATGGGCTGCTTAACTCCAGTTACTGTAAAACATCTTTTGACCATGGGAGAGCTATACACTCCTTGTTCAATGATTCCAGTATGTCTGCTGTGTCCTTTAGCCTGAACTAAGAAAATACATAAGCAGACAATCAGCAAAGGGCCTTGTGACTTGGCCCTAGGTGCCCAAACCCAGGTCAAGGTCTATTGCACATTCAAGTTTCCTGTGCACCTTATAAGGAAGAAAGGGATGCTTAGGTGAAAATTTGCAGCCATCACTGAGCCCTGAGATGCCCAAGTCAGTCACTACTGAATGTCAAAATGGGATTGTGTTCAAACCCCTGTTTTCTGCATGAGCTGAGGTGTGTGTCTCAGGAGCATCCTTAAATCATAAAATCATAGAGTGGCTTGGAAAAGGACCTTAAGGATGATTTAGTTCCAAGCCCCCTGGCATGGGCAGGGACACCTTCCACTAAGATCAGGTGCTCAAAGCCCCATCCAATCTGGCCTTTAACACTTCAGGGATGGGGCATCCACAGCTTCTCTGGACAACCTGTTCCAGTGCCTCACCACCCTCACAGTAAAGAATTTCTTTCTAATATCTAATCTAAACCTACTCTCAGTTTAAAGCCATTGCCCCCACTATATGTCCTTGCAAAAAGTCTCTCTCCACCTTTCTTGCAGACTGTCTTTAGGTTCTGGAAGGCTGCAATTAGGTCACCCGAAGCCTTCTCTTTTCCAGGCTGAACAAATGCTATTCTCTCAGCCTTTCCTTATAGGAGAGGTGCTCCATTCCTCTAATCATCTTGGTGGCCCTCTTGTTGTCCTTTTCCAACAGGTCTGTGTCCTCCCTGTGCTGGGGACCCCAGCCAGAGCTGGATGCAGCACTGCAGGTGAGGTCTCACCAGAGTGGAGTAGAGAGGAAGAATCAACCTCCCTCGACCTGCTGGCCACACTTCTTTTGATGGAGCCCAGGATACGATTGGCTTTTTGGGCTGCAAGCGCATATTGCTGGCTCATGTTCTGCCTCTCATCCACCGGCACCCCCAAGTCATTCTCAGCAGGGCTGCTCTTGATCAGTTCATCCCCCAGCCTGTATTGGTACCTGGGTGCAGCACCTTGTACTTGGGTCTTGTTAAACCTCATGAGATTTCCATTGGCCCAATTCTCAAGCTTCTGTGAAACAGGATCAGAGCCCAGTGCACTCCTCTCTGCATAGAGGGTACCTAGGTCAGAGTCCAGTGCCAACTCAGTTAACATATTTTACTGTGGACAGTCAGTAGTAGAAAACAAGATCCATTTAAGGAGTAGGAGCAGATTAGAACTCTTATCTTTCCCCTCAGTGGATTAACCTTTAGATTGCATAGCACTGCTTTGCACACTCTCTGAAATCTCACTGTGTCCTGAAGGTTTGTGTATTTTCTTGGAAAAGGGAGGGGAAACTGTACGTACAAAATCTTTTGGCTTGAAGTGGGTCTGAAACATGGGTATCCCATTTTCCAGGTAATGAATGACTGGTTTTCTGTGAAAAGTCATTCCTAGCTCTTCATGTGAGTTTGGGAGTCATGATCTCCCAGAAGAGCATGACTTCCTCACAGCGCAGGTCCCTAAATGCCAGTTCTCTGCCCTGACAAGCCGAATGGACCAGCCACACAGAGACCTGGGTGAAGATGACACGCTCAACACAAAGAGCTTCAGCTGTCCTTGGAAGTTCATTCCTCAAAATTTAACCGCCTACAGTGGCTCTCATGCTAAACACTTTGGTCACATTTTCTTGTGAACGCAGACACCTAAACACCTACCTAAATAACACCTGAGGCACATAAATGCATTGTCGACTGCCTGTCTCAGTATGTGACTAAATATAAATATAAATTGACAGCTTCAGAACAAACCTATTAAAAGTTATGAAAAAAGTGGTATTTTAAGGAAAAAGCTGATTTTATTCTGAAAAAGCAGTTTCTGTGCTTATGTTCAACTAAGGAAATAAACAACATTTAATAAAATTGCCTCTAACTTTAAATTGTTTATTGAAACAATTCAAGTGATACTTTCATGTTCTACATTTCACAAACCTACAACAGAGAACAAGGTCATGCAGAAATACAAAAAGAGTGAAAAATGAATTAGAGGTCAGCAAGGGGAAAAATTTAAATCAGTGACAACACTCCTTATCTCAAACTCTGTTGTTCCAATTGTTATTATGGCAGAAATAGAGTTGCCAAAATATTTGTTATTTGGACATGCTATATATTAGGACATAAAATGCATATCAATAAATTTAATTGGAAAATCAATTAAATTTTTCTATCATTTTATATTATGAGATACACACATGACAGAGATGGACCTGTTCTACTTTTGAGCCATAACCCTTTATAAACAAGCCCTACTAGATATTCCAAAATGGAAAACAAGCAAACAAACAAAGAAATAAGCTACAGTACTAGAGGAAATGCAGTGGAATTAAATCCAAGTGATATATTTAACACAATATTTCAAAATTCCACAAAGGAATGTATAACTGAACTATCAGAAAGGTTTTAATTCTTTGCACATTCTGATATATTTTATATATCATGTGTGCATTTTTATGAGATTTGATTAAATAACCCAGGAAACAAAAAAAAAAAGGAAAAAAAAGAAGAAAAAATGAAATCAGGAGTAGTTTTCAGCTAGCTTACAGATTTAGAAGCTATTCATACATAATTTATAAGAAAAAAAATCCAGGTACCTTACTCATCTTTGTATTTTGAACCAAGATGATTTCTTCCATTGTAGGCCTACTCTGTAACCCCCAAATAAGGTCAAATACAATTTTTGTACTTACACTGCCTGGTGGACAACTCTGGATTTTTCAAGGAGATACTCTGAAATCTGAGCTCCTACTACAGTGCCACCACAAGTGAATTTCATTTCCAGATATTTTCCAAATCTGCTTGAGTTATCATTGATGATAGTGCCTGCATTCCCAAATGCTTCTACGAGGTTGTTCACCTGGAGAATCTTCTCCTGTAGAGTCCTGTTATTAGCCTGGATATGAAAATAATATTGCTTCAAATTATCAGTAATTATTCAAATACATTCATTTTTAGGTGTTTATTTACTCTTCTTGTTGGTATTGTGAAGTGTGAAATAATAGGGGCAGCCATTCCCATGGGAATTATATGGAAAGAAAGGCACATATATATATATATATGCATATAGTGAAACCCGTCAGAATATAGCAATCTTCAGAAGTAATGGCTGGTTGGAAGAGATAACACATATGATGACAACACCACCACCAGAACTGATACATTTCTGTGGTTCATCACTCTGAGGTGGCTGATCTGCTTTTAGGATCCTTCTTAGCATCTCCTTACTGCTGTAGTGCACCATACCTATCCGTCAGTTTGCTTGCATCTCACCTGGGACATGCAAAAAATGGCATTTTATTTAGACAATCATGGTGGCCACTTCCCAGAATGACTGTGTCCCACTGACAGTGATCTGGTTGCAGAAGGAGGTGAAAAGCTAGAAGAGGAATTTACTTAGTACAGTTTGGGTGACTTGAAGACACTCAAAAAGGGAACTGACTAAGTCACAGCCTGCACTGCAGTGGGTACTTCCTTGTGGAAACCCCAACATATTTTCAAGTGACCCTAGTTCAGAAGGGAGGGGGGAGTAGATGGATCAGCATCATGTTCCAGTTTTCTTCTGAAAATGTGTAGCAGTCTTGCCCCAAAACCAATGCCCTGTCCATAGGTTCAGTCGTTTAGGTGCAAGATAGCAAAGCCTTACAGAGGCAACCCTTTGACATACCTTGCCCAGGACGGTGAGCTGCTGAACCAGCAGATGGGCACTTTGTGTTTTGCCAGCTCCACTTTCTCCAGAAATAACGATACACTGCAGAGAACAAGAGCAAGACTCTGAGCTCATTACACATCTCTCAGCCTAGCAAAGGATATAATTAAGACACGTCACCTATACCTGATCAGAGTTGTATGTCACCATGGACTGATAGCCTATGTCAGCAACAGCAAAAATGTGAGGAGGGTTGGCAGTCCGTTTGGCTCCAATATACAGTTTGGAATGCTAAGTGTAAGAAAAATGAAAACGTTACTGGTGTCCCTTAACAACTTTTTTTTTTTTAATCAGGGTTTAGTTTTATTTTTAGATTAGTGTACAGCATGCTGAGGTTACCAGAAGTGATGTTTTCTGAGTGAGCTGCTACTGCACTCACTATACCATGAATCTGTATGTACTTAGTACTATAAGAACTGCTAAACAGAATGAAGTGCAATTTTTTATAATTTGAGTCCTGATTATGCTGTGAAACTAATTATTTAGGAGAAAATTCAATATTGCCAGACATCAAGGACTAACTGATAATTTCATTTTATTTGTGCTTCACTTCCTCCTAGTATTTATGCATGATATTGATGTCAAAACTTTAGATCTTTTCCGTACCTGTAGTACCTGATAATTAATAATTAATAATGCCAAATTATTGTATGACCAGACTTTCATACCTGTCCCCTTTTGCATAATGGGAAGACAAATTCACAGAAGTTAACATTGTACAGGGTTGTTTGCATGATCTACACTACAGACATAAAGATATCAGAAATTATAGACATAAAGATATCAGAAATTAGAGGTTTTTTATTTCTCATTTCTGTGCTGAAATTCAGCATGTTAAGGGTATGTATCAATATGCACTTGAAGGAACAACTCTATTGGTAATTCTGTTTTTCAGAGTGAACTGAAGTAAGTATCAAGAATGATCTTACTTTATACTTAACACAAATATTTATATTTTAGTGGAAATCAGTGGTAGTTTAAAATAACCAAACCTAGATTTTCACACCTGTGAAGAATAAATATCTATGTTCCGAAATGGATTGACAGCGATGAGAATGTCCCCAACATATGTGTAGATCTGATCCTTGGCATAACCCTTCTGCAACTGTTCTGTTACTGTATTCTGATGGAGAAAGAACATGAACATTGAATTATATGGGGGAAAAAAAGAATATTAGGAAAACTTATAAAATATTCAAATAGTTACAATGAGTGAGAATAGGGAGGGAAAAAATTAATAGTCAGGAATACAAGTAATTGTGATCAAAAGTAAAACTTTCAAAAGCACTGGCATTTCTAATTTCTTGTGTCCAAACTCACTTTGAACAGCGTATACTTACAGATCCCCAAGTGGTTGTAGAAAAATGAGTTAATTAGAAGTTTCCATGAGACAGTCCCGCCTACATTTCTAACACTACAGTTTAATGTAACTTATCAAGAAGAGCCATATGATTGAATTCATAACTGCCATTACACCTTCTCTAACAGTACTCTCAGTTATGATACGACACAGATGTTCAACTGTTTGGATCCTATTAATGTAAACAATCAGGCATCTTTCTGTATTAACAACCAGTCTCTGCTGTGATGGTTCTTTCTGTTGCAGAGCCAGTTCTCCCTGAACCAAGAAAAAAGAAGGACCCATTAGTGGCATTCAAACTCCTTGATGTAATTTCCCTCAGCTTCTTCTGCATACAGAGCCAGGTATGTAAAGTGCCTGATTAGGTTTCCAATCAAAACAGGCCATAGAGCTGGATGAAGAAATTCAAACCAGCCTTGAGACTATTCTGAGGCACATGTGAAAATATTTAGGCCCTATACCCATTGGAACAGAACAACTGGCAGCAGAAGCCTACAGAAGGAATTGCTTTCCCTCCACATCCATCTGTTCAGTGCTGCACACTGTGACCTGGTTAATGCACTTGAAGGCTGAATTCTCAAGAGCTGAAGAGGTTACATTTCCTTCACAGGAAAACATAAGGAGAAAACCTTGATAAACTTTTTGATAAACCCATTCCTTTTTGTTTTTGAATGCTCCTTGCTTTTGGCCATAACCAGATTCACATTACAGAGTTATTTTAGGGGAACTTCTGCCCTTTCTGAAATTATTTTTTGCACTGATAGAAGATCTCTTGTCTTGCTCTGATGATGGGGCTATCTAAACTGGAAAAAAAGTTTGAGTGGAAAAAAGAATACAGTTCTGAGAAGCTGTTATTCATATGTGAACAACATTTTAAATTGGATTTGATTTAGTAACATATCACATAGTCAAATGTTGCCTTTAGACAGAGGCTTCCTGGGGACTTCCAGAGGCTTCCTGGGGACTTCCATGAGAATACTCCACCTCTAAGGAGATGGAATATGTTCTGGCTTGTCTATTTTTTTGTGTGAAAAATCCCTTCAACTTGGATTGTTTATATGTTTCATGGTAAAGGACAAAAAGCATATTGCTATTCCCAATACTAAAAAAATAATTAAACCTGAACTTTGTGCAGTGAATGAAGTTTGGGTTAGCTCAATTAGTATTAATGTAACATCAAGCTACTATAGCAAAGCTGTTGAAGACAGAAGACATTCTGTGGGCATTATGGAGTTTACCAGCTCCAGAGCCACACTTAATATTCTGAACTAACAAAGATACAATATACCAGAGAAGTTTTACAGATAAGAGAATGTGAATTATACTCTGTGCACAGCCTGGTAGAGGAATAATGACAGTTTGTTTACAACCACTGATGGCCTCCAAGACCTGCAGATAATGTGCTGTGTCCTGATTCTTCTCTCTGGTTTTGACACTTAAAGCAGAAACACAGCAGACTTCCCCCCTCCCTTATGCATGTTCCCCTGCTTCTAGTAGATTCATTTTTGAACTTTGACAAACCAGTGAGATTCGTATCAGTAATTTTGTCAAAATTTCACCAGCAGGCATTGACAGGTCACAGGCTCAGCTGACATAAATTGATCTCAATGCATCTCCACACCAAAATAAGACAGGGAGAACCCAGCCTGGGAGCAGAATGGTAAGCTAGTTTAAGACAACTCAAGATGTTTAAGCAACAGGGAAGAAGGTGCTGGTTCTTGGACCTGGACCAATTTCAGGTTAACACACCACTGCAAACTGGATATTTAGCTCTAAGAAAATCCAGTGATATAAATTCTGTTAAGCCAATGGTGTTACAATACTGTTCAGTCTATGACTGTAAACGCAGAGATTGTTTTAGCTTTGAGTTGGAACCATTCTGACACAGTAAATCTTATCTAAAATATTTGGTATAAAAAGGTAAAATGTCATTGTACATTTACACAGTTGAAGTGGGACAACACAGTTGAATTTGAAAATCAACAGCACACCATTGTGTTTTAATATGTGATTAGTCCTCTTCAGGAAAACATGAAAAAGAAGGTTCTTACCTCATCCAGTACCTCCAAGGTTGCTAAATCATCTACTTCTTCTTGGTTTGAAACTAGTGACTTACTGTAGTTCCCTTTCTTCGTATGAATACGTTCAAATCTAGAAAAGAAAGACATACAATTTCCTGATGTAAGGAAACACAGAGCAGATCTTGCATCTGTAACTGTCTTGAAGGCAATTCAGCTGAAACATTCCAGCTTTCCACTGTTCTGAATTTAACCACATAAATGTCTGAATAACAGGACAGGAGTTTACTTCTTAGTGCAGCATACTTGTACTTGACAATTCAAAATCTATTATTTGATCCCACAACTGCTGCCATGAAGAACTTTGTCACTGTATAGATCCCTCCTTGATTACACCCCCACATCAGCTGCAACACTGGAGCGATGCAATACAGGTAAAAAAAAAGGAATATATTTATAAAGCATATAACACCCAAACTTTGGCACCAACCTGCAGAAAGAAAAATGATCCAGATAACAATTATGGATGGGACAAAGCCAGGGGTGTGTGATGAAATAGTATGGCAAGGATGATGCAGACAAAGCACTCAGGATAGAAACTTTCCTAGCTTAGTAATGACAATGCTCTAAAGCCTGGCTGAGATGACCACACTGTAGAGCAAAGTGCTACAAAAACACTGGGATAAGTGAAATACATCCTGACCAAGAATAATTTTCTTGAGCTCTACAGGAAAGATACATACAAAAGAAGGAAACAAAACTTCAAATATTTTTCTTATCTGTGTTAAACGTCAGTTAAGTTTGTCTTGAAGTTAGATTTCTTTTGTCTTTCAATCAAACCAAAAAAATTTTATGCAGTCTTATTTTAATTAGGAAGAAAATTCCCAGAGACTAGGATCATTTTTCATCCAAGAGTAAAGGCATTGCTAAACAGAGCAAAGGCAGCAGAAAATGGAAGGTTTACAATTCACATTAGTTATATTTGCTTTATGAGATGACGGAAATCAGGGAAAGGGAAACTGCATAAGTAACAGCAGAGTTCACAAACTAAATCAAACTCAGATGTGCGGTAATGCACAAGCACAGAAAAACTATCAAGTAAATCTGATCTCCTGATATGACCTCACTCTGTTTGATGCTGTAGGTAGGAAGGCACCTCTCAAACACAAGGAACACATACGTTGGTAAATTCAGACAGCCAGGAAACTGTGTTATGTGAAGCATTCACTCTTAACCTTAATTCCAGACAAGACCAGGGAAACTTCTTATTTAATTTTGACATTTGAATATATGGCATGAGTAAAAGCAGACAGGTGTTTTCTACCCGGGCAAGAACTTTAATACACAGTGAATAGAGGACAGGAGAAAGAGGGTAGTTGCACCAAGATGGAAAGCTAGAATGAGTGAACATCACACTGATGGGGAAAGCTAAGAGACTTCTGAACACCCAAATTAAGATTTACTGCAGAGTTAAATGGGCTGTACCCATTCTGTGAATATCACCTACTTCATGAGTGCTACTTCAGGTTGTGCTGGCTGTGCACTGATGAGGGATGTAGGTGCAGAAAGTCAAGCAGGCACTGACTTGGCATCAGTAACTGACTGCCAGGACTGAAGAGGGACTGCAAGAAATGGGCAAATGATGCCCTCCCAAACTGTGAGTGCAATCAAGATCCAGATGATGGAAATGCTGACAGGAACGCGCTTCATCTAGCACTTCTTTCAGTTTCTCTTGTCTCTAACAGTCATTCCCTGAGGATGACAGATTGCCCTGTCCTCACCCTGGTAGCTGCCAGTAATGGGCAGTTTCTTACTCCTTTACATAGGTGCCAGCTGCCACTGGAATCTTTCAATTGTCCACAGTGCAAAGGCAGGATTTTCATTCCCATAGATTACTAATTCTGCAACCTTAATATCAAGACACAAACACACAAGTCTTCATTGTAAGTGCTAAGAGTTTCACAGTCTCTGTACCAATATTGCAGCACAATACCCAGTGCAGAGGCTAAGTGAGCAGGAAGCATAATGAACCATATGGGTCACAATGATCTACATTACCCTGATGGAAGAGAAGGACCAAGTCTTGCCAGTTTTACACCCAGCTTTGAAAACTACTTTCAAACTGTTAGAACCTTGAAGCTGCATGGGAAAGCAACCTGCTTCCAAACGTTTTCTTTCAGTATTTATTACTGCCAAAAAAGACTGTCAAAAATACCACTTTAAGGATGATAGTGAGGCTGAACTACATGGAGGTGAAAAGCAATGGGAATGCTACACAGCACAGTACCAGAGCCACACCATGTACCACCATGCTGCACAGAATATGCAACACATGGGCCTATGCCAACATTAGCAGTGTAAATAGATTAAAAGACATGCAGAAGGAGTGTATGTCTTTGTGTGGGAAGAAAGGCAGCTTTTGCTGCAATAAACCCATAACTGGGCTGTAATTTGGTATGTATTTAAATATGCTGAAGCAGAAAACACACGGGAACAGAAGCAGGAAGCATCAAAAGGGATGGGTCTGGTGTAAAGCAACTGCACCTCTTCTAGGTTTGACCTCTTCCCCCTTTCCTTTGGAACCCATTTGTACCACAAAAGCTGTTCTGATAGTACTGTCCTTGCAATAACACTGTGAGACAATTTTTGGTACTATGTACCCCAGGTTGTACTAAAGAGGATGTGGTAATATTAAGATTTAAATTAACTCTTCAGCCTTGCATGATCTACTGCTTTTTGATTTGCATTTTCCAAGCTAAAAGACATTACTGCATTCAAAGTCAGAAGTGCAGATAATATCCTACACCCCAAATAGATATCTATCCCCTCTATAAACAACACTCCTATTTAAACCTCTTTTTAAGAGTTTCATTTGAAAATTTAAATTTGGACAGTTGAAACAATTTCTCCTTCATTCCTCTATGAAGGTCATTTTGTGTCCAGAGGATGCATCTAATATCAGTATGTCTTTGAGAAAGACCTATCAATATGTACATGAGGGAAAGATGCAGGACTGCAGGACTGTGCCAAGCTGTGCTGTTCTATTTTTTCCATTGCCACAGGAAGACCCAAAACAAGGCATCTGTCAAGCTTTGCTTTCCATTTCTGGTGGAATTGTTACACATTGAACACAATTTTTTTATAATGTTAAATTCTTATATGTTACTGCTTATCAGCGAGAGAGTGATATTTCCCAAAATAAGTTTCAATTACCATTTTTTAATTTAATGTAGGAAGCCAGTAACTGCCTTGCAGGAAGGGAGGAGAATGCTCCAGTTATGGACACTTCTCTTTTTCTATTTTTTTTCCTTTTAACGAAACAATCTCTATTTATGCCAGGGAAGTTTAATTACATAAAATCAATTCTCCTGTAATCCTCTTCAGCTGACATTATGAGAACACTAGCGCTTGTTGGACCAGATTATATTCTCTGTTTTCCAGAGTACAGCAGAGTGGCAGATTTGCAGAACACAATATTTTTCCACTTTGCTGTCGAAGGGCACAGACCCCTCAAGGGCAGTTATACTGCTTCACTTGCTAAAACTCCAACCACTTAAAAACCCCACATCAGTGCTGTTGACATCAGTGCTGAAATTTCATTAAGATCATTCACATAGACATTGTGAACTGAAATAACCATGATTCTCTGTTCTGCTCAGAAATTTGTTGGAGGCATTAGATCTTAGAGCCATGCTCGACAAGCAACTCAGGCAGCTAAAGGCCAGAAACATCAACACAGTATGGACAAGAAAATGAGTCAAGGCAGCATTGTTTCTGTGCATTCTCCTTCACACCAACATCCCCCCCGCTTATCTTTCAAGATTCAGTTAAATCAAAATGAGGCAACTGCAGCTTTTTCTTCTTCAATTTGTCAAAACGTATTTAAAAGATTTCTGATAGTTCCAAAAATACCATGAAGAGGAAAGTGTGACTCATAATGCCCTGTTGAACTCTCTGCCTAAACTGGTTGGAGAATCATCTATAGACTAAAAGGTGACAGGAAAAGGGCTGGGTGTAAAGAAGAAACTAAAAATAATGAAGTTTTTGTAAAGTGAAAGTGGGAACAGCTGTATACCTCCCAGCAGTTACAAAGAGCAGTAAAAGTGATGAAGAAGCACCACAGAGAAACCTGTGAAAGCTCTGTCATAGCTGGTGATTCTATTTCTCTGGAGGCTATAGAGAGCAATATTAATTCACACTTAAAATCAAAATTTTGTCTTCAACAGGTAAATCTCGTGAAGTATGCTTAAATAAAACTGCTGTCTGATATCTATGAAAAATCTGTACCTGAATTTAGAAAGTGTAAGACTCCATTGATAAGACTCCAGCTGCATCTGCACAATGCTTTGCAGACAACCTCTGTATTTAAATGATTCATGGCACTGGCTGCAGTCTCAGGGATATGTGCTGCAGCTTATGCAGTGTTGCTGAGAGCACAGTGCTGCCCTGCAGAGCTATGGAGCTTTTGACTCAGAGGTGCCCTGTGTCCAGTCACTTGGGATATGTCCTGCTCTACACAATCTGTTTGACAAAGTTTGTGCTGCTTTACCATGACCTGTAAAAAAAAGAGGTGAGTGGTCCTTCACAATAGCCTCAAGGTGATGTATCCCTGACAAATATCAAGGGAAAAATGTGTTCTTAACTGAGCAAATAGGAGATGTCTAAAAGGACTCTTTGGGATTAGTTCCTTATTAATCTCATGAGTCAGGCCCATGCATTATGATCAGAACCATAATGAGAAGATAAAGGAGAAGCTCCAAAAGTAATGCCTGCTGAGGTATCCCACCTTCAGGAGAAATGAGTTGCTGAGCAAGTGGACTGACACAACAGTGAAGTACCACTTCCAGAGCATTACTCCCAGGGAGTTCTGAATGCAGGAGGAAATTCTTCCTCCTGTTTTCTTCAGAAGATAAATTATTCTTCATCCAGGTAGTGCTGCTGTCCATTGTATTGTATAGAAGAATATTATTCTGACACAGAGATATGTATTAGCTAGAAGCACATGGACTGGCTATCTGCTTGTTCTAAGGCCTTTGTTGCCAGAAACTCCCTATTACTTCTACAGCCTGAGAGAAGTTTGCAGCATAGCCAGGACTGTTCTCGGTGCAGGAGTACACACTTCTCCTTGGTACA